GAAGCATTTACAAGTAACTTTGATTTCTAAAATGGATTACAACTTAAATCCAGTATCTGGAGGTAAATGGTTACAGTGTCAAGGTGAGATTGTCTGATAGCTTGTTTTGGTTGAACTGAGTGAAGAAGTTAAAAATACTGTGACATTGCAGTATATTAAAACCAACCTATAATTAGAAAGCACAGAACATTATGCAGAAGTTGTAAATATTCAGAAAACAATCTAATCTACAGCAGTGTATAATCCAGGCTTTAAATGAAATATTAGCAGCAGTACTTACATGAATGCATAATTTAGCTGACTTTTATGGTCAATCATATGAAAAAAAACATGCATTACTTGCAAAATGCATTGCATTGTTTAAGAAAAGCACATTCAGTTGATTAACCAGTGTTTTGAGATATGCATTTGTTGTTTATTTTACGAAACAGGTTCAGAGAAATGTTCATGAGAATCAGTAAAAGAAACACTGAAATACATCAACTGTTCATCTACTTATTTCTAATGATTGCACTATCATTCTATCTACTCTCAGTGTACCAAATCCATAAAAAGAACCTTTTGTCCACATACTCTGCAATGCTTTCACATTTCTCTGGAATATTTTCTTCCCACTGTACCCAGGTTCATTCTTAAGGTTCTAGTCAGTTTTAGGATCAGAAGTCTGAGTCCTGTAATTTCCAGTTACTTTTGTAAGATGAGTCAGGTGTGCTTACCACACTCTTCCCTCTTTATTTGCTTTAGAGAAGAGGTAACAACAGTCTCTTCAGGTTTTTTTTAAAGCTCTCTCTTACTATAGATATATTCAACTGCTGGGCATTAGGGAAGAATGGAAATTAGAAGCTTTCAAAATATTAACTACATGACACATCATAATGTTGGTTGACTGAATGAACTATTTATAGAGGACAGGTATTTACTGTTGAAACATGACTAGCAATGAGGTTCTGAATCAGTGTCTTTCATGTCTTTCTCAAAATGCAATTTCCTTCCCCCATCAGTCCCAAGACCCTGTTTGTAGCCATTAACTATTACTTTCTAAAAAACTTTCATCAGAAATTTAGATGCCTCACAACATTCTGAACATCTAGAAAACAGTTCTTTTAATGCAGAATTTGTAAGATTTTCAAGAAATTACTGAGACAACTTATTTTCTAGATTTACAGTTGTGACATATAGTATGTTATTTTCAATACTTTAGGAGTGAACAAAATTGGAATTACGGCTTAAGTATCTATTACAGTTTCTGAGCATACAAATAGTTCAGCGAATGGTACTTTCAGGTGGACTTGAATCCCTCCTGAAGCTGGCCTCTAGCATCCTTCTTTGGAAATTAAATCTGAAAGGGCTTTGTAGAGATTTCCTAGATAACCCTTCCATAAGGCAGTCGAAGTACAGCTCTCCCCTCAGCTCTGCTGGGCAGTTCCCTACTAACATGGCTTTTCTGTTCTCCCTGCAGTGTACTCAAAGGAATACCTGCAGATGCCAAGTCGGGCTGTGTGCCCTGCAGGGAGAGCAATGCAAAAAGAACATTTCCAGCTGTCTGGGCCACACAGAGCTTGCACAGTTGTTTCCCAAGGAGGGATTTTCATTATTTATTATAAAGGTATAACATTCTTTACACTGTTCAGTAAATTGAATTACTGCAATTCAGAGATACATAACGTACAGCACAACGTGCTGTTTATCCCTTTTCAGGGTGCAGATTCAAAGTATGGTATAATCTACTGTACCTACGCCAAGCATCTTAATCTCTTTCATCAGAGTTCTACATTTATCACAGAAAGTACATCAAAGCACAGACAATGATCTGTAGATTTATATTTGGAACGAAGTAAAATTAAGAGTCATTGTATTGCATCTAACTTTGGGATGTAACTGCAGCAGATTTTTGTATTTCACATACATTTACGTATTTTTGGTACATCAGGCTGAAATGTAATTCCCAATTGAAATTTTCAATTTCAAATCTTCAATGATTTCATCTTTATTATCTTTTCAGTTTATAATCTAAATAGAAAATAATTATTTTTAGAATTATATAAATTCACTTTCACTCCACACTGTACAGCAAAGACAGAATTAGTTCCATTCTCCTCCACAGTAACTAACTCTGAACTACTTCACATGTGTTTCAACTGAAGTTTCCATTTCCATTAACTGATACTTGCATCAAGCTTTAATAAATATTTACATCAAATCTGAAGAAATACTGTCAGTTAAGTAACACTTTGCACAAAAAGGAACTCAGAATAGCTAACAACTGGATACGTTACTATAATTCATCACAAGAGACATGAAGCACTTGCTCAAGTGAAGAGCAATAGCTGACTAATGTGTTTGCAGGGAAGAGGCAATTTTATGTATTTGAGGTTTACACTGCATTCTTGACTGCACAGGGAAGAGATATCTGATACAGACCTACATAGACAAACTTAGGAACCAGAAGCATTCTTGTTAGAGCATCCAGGAGCTCCAGGTGGGAAGAAGAGCAGCGTAAATAACCAGCAACCTCTACACTATGTCAGTGAGGCTGCCTGTGGCCAGTGCACTGAGAACTAACCTGGTTTCTCTGTCTGTCTCCCAGTGCGTAGTGCAGACCTACCATTATTCAACTTCAAATTTTTTTTCTTGAGAATGACTTTATACAGAGTGAACAAAATCTCCCTTTATAAATCTCCACTGTATATTTTTCTCCCAGTTTACTCCATCTCAATAGATTAAAGAATTAATTTATTGCCTAAATTAATTTCTCTGTCAAGGTGTCCATGTATGTAAACTTGATGCTTTCACCACAGCCTCTGTTTTTGTCACCAAGCTAATTTTATTAAGCTTGATTAGATATCGGAATCTTTTGTGTCACTGCATTTTTTTCCACTTCGTCACATAACCTTCACTGAAATTATTAGGACAGCATCATGACTGCAGAGCATTTTGCCAGTTTCCTCTAAGAGCTGTTGCACATCTTGAAAAGTTCAGAGTTTAAACAATACTTGACATGCAACCACAATGCAAGTTGCAGCAGAATTAGTGGTGACAAAAAGACCAAGCACTCCTAAAAATGATTTTTAAAAAGACATTGGAAAAGAAGAAAGGAAGTTTTGAGAGTCAAAAGTTTCAGAGAGATGAAGTTACATAAAATTAATCTAAGGCCATGAATTCCCTCTTACGTGACTGGCGAGCTGGATTACTAAAATGTTGGTTTAAGTATGCTGTTAGTCTTTTACACTTCCCAGTAGGCATTCCTACTTCCCAGAAAGCTGACGCTTTGTTTGTTAAGATCAAATTTCCTTTTCTGTTCCTCACATATTAGAACAATGCTTCAGTATTTGGGTTATATTCATAAAGAGGAAATATAATTTAAAAAATGTTAAAGGTTAATCAAAATCATAAAAACATAATCCTATGGATGCTAAATGTTACACGTACAAGACGACTGTACGCAGATCAAATGGAACACCTTTCTAGGAGAACAGATCAGCTACACAAGCCTGGACGTGCCCCAAGCCACCTTTACTGCTGAATTTTAAAGAACCAGCCTGTTCAAAAGATGTGACACCTCATTGAAAAAAAAATGGCATGAAGAGTCCTAAAGAGCACAGTTTGGGGTACATGACATGTTGTGCCAGGGGAATAGGCCAATAGTTTAAATATATTCCCTCTCCCTTACCTATCTTGCATAGGGGTCTACAAAAGGAAAACATCAGTGGGACTGGTGAGCTGGTGGGCTACCAGTCTGAGTAAACAGACCCCACCTCTCATCCTTACAGACTTAGCTTTTCTACTGTGCTGGAAGACAGTCATCACCCCAGATAAACAGGATCCAAGAAATTTCTGCTTAGTGTATCTACATTCCTCGCTTTCCTGCCACGCTGTTTCAGAGTTAAGGAAGAACGATCTAAATGAGAGGCCCAGCACACTCAGTAGCATACAAGTGCTCAGAGAGGCATATGATACGGAAGGGGATGATTCAGAAAGTCAGATGCCAACAGGCTGATGTATGGAGGCATCTGAAGATGGTTATTCAACAAGAAACTCAGGTTAATATTATGCCTCACAATTAAAAACAGCGGGGAATGACAGTCAAAAGCTCCTGGCTCAGGAGCACATGAGATGTGCTGGCTACTCCACAGGGTCCACTCACAACAGACCACCGGCTATGAGGCCTTGTTTGTCACAGCGTACATCTCTTTGTTCCTTGCCGCTGCAGAACAATACACCTAGAAACTACATTAACCATTAACAGTCTTCATAGCAACTACCGCAAAGTCTATAAATATGAACAGGAAAAAAGTGCTGCACCAAAACCGTAAATTACAAAGGAGCAAACTCCCACTTTATGTAAGAGAAATCTCTGCTAACCCATTTCTGCTGTGTCCACCGTGTGACAAACAGTTTCACAATATGGCTCCAGTATATCCACACCAGTTTTTACACATAGTACAGTCTAACTGTAAGAATGAATATTCATGTGGTGGATACACAGAAACAGGCATGGTAGTTAGTGCTTATTTTTGAAAACTGATGGTATAGCATTAATAGTGTGAAAACCACATCATTGATTTCAAAAGCGTAACTATAAATCAAAGTAGCATCAAGTCACTAACAGTCTCTCAGAAATAAAAATCTCCCTTTACAATCTTAAATACTTAACAGCTATGGGTATCTGAGAAATTACTGAAAAGTGGTCACAAGACAGACAGAAAACAGAAACAGAAATTACAAAAGAGTACTTTTCCTTATTGCAAACATAGTACAAAATCGCAGCTGACTTACAAAACAGTGTGAGCATGAGTCAGTCATTGCCAACTCCAGAATAAAATTTTATCGCTTCAGTCAAAACACAACGTGATGCTTTGCGCTACTACATTGCTTACAGCCAGATAACCTATTCCTGAATTTTGGAACAGGAAACACAGCAGTGACAGTTTAACATTCAGCCATTCCTGCAAGCATGCCAGCACACTCAGACTGGGCAGCCAACACATACCGTCGTTTATCTGCTATAGAGTTCCTTCCTCACGCAGGATTTGAAAGTAGTATACCTCTGTATAGGTTTGTAGCCCTGTGGAGCAGAAGATGGAGAAGTGCGCAGATGCAGACAACATGTGAAGACAGCCAGAGGTAAGCATAAGACAACAGTATCATGAAAATACAAAAAAATGGCTTTAAGTGACAAATAGCTATAAGATCCAGTATAGTATGTGCTAGGTAAAATGTTTATCGTTTACTCACTAAGTTCCAAATCTTTCAGTTTAAAAATGGAATTTATAAAGTTAAGGGAATCTTCTTACATATTTTTTTTTAAAGGAAATAACTATTTTAAACCAAACAGCAAGCAAAAATAAAGCTTTTCATGTCTGAACATCTTAAGTTTATGGCAATACCCTAACTGACCACTTGATGGCAGCTTAATATACCAGTTTGTTTCAAACTACTAAAACCCAAAAAGGTTTCAGATTATAACACTATATTCCAGAAAGAGAGAAATTTCATTTTATAAATTCTTTAAGATATTTACTTTTTCAAAAATAGATGTTAAAATGAATATTTATTATGTTCTTATAAGGGGTAGTATCTGACCTTCCTCAAGTTTTTAAGTTTATGGCTAAGCTTTTAAATAGGACAAAGCTGGTAGGTACTGACTGACGTTTCAGAACTCCGGTTTCATTGGACTTCTGTAAGTCTTTGCTCTTAAATACGTTTGCTTTAGTCAGACTATACAACTATGTATGCCCTTTTCTAAAATACATGGTTGTAGTACCAAGCTGTCTGATGCCCTCAAGATTCTCCTGGGCACACATTTTAGTAAAACAACTTCTCAAAAAGTTGAATTACTAAGTATAGGAAGGATGTTAATTGTAAAATCATGCTTCAAATCACAGGCCTATTTCAAGCTGTTCCTTTTAGATGTTTTTAGAACAATAATAAGAGACTACACCGATTTGGGCAGACATTAATTGTAGGATATTTAACATTAAAATCAGGCATTTACACTTTATAAACAGGTTGACATTTCTCATGGCAAAAATTTCCATGTTTGTACAAAATACTGCATAAGCAGAAGCTATACTGTTCTTTTACGTGTATAATGGAACTGACCATATCCATGAATATGGATTCGAAACACAGTTATTAACAACGAAAAGGTTAGTGATTTGTTAGTTCTAATTTTGCACAAGACAACATTTGAGCCCTTCACATTGTAGGAGCAAGAGGGTAAACTTATTTTTTCTGGCCACGCTAAATACTGTGGAACTTTTAATGTACAAACAATAGGAAGCACTTAATGACACTTTCTGCCAATTTGTTCTGGGCAAAAGATTCTTACGCGCTTTATTCTTTCCATTCTAAACCAAGACTGGAGTTCATGAGGGTGCTTATTAAACTGAAAAGGAAAATTTTTGTAGAGTTTTTACTACTACCCACTCTTGGAAAAATCAGGTTTTGTGACACTTACAAAAACTTATTGCAAATTGTAATTCCTAAGTTTGGTAGTGTAATTTTCTTGGAATACTACTGATTAGTGAAAAGAATGCATTTTTCTGAATAATCTAACAAATCTGCATGTAGGCATATCTGAATATAACTGAATTATAGGACCAAATCATGATCATCTCCTATGCAATCCAGGAGGTATTTCATATCTAATTAAAATTAGACTATCACTTATGAAAGACGGTGCTATTCTTCTGAACATTCTTGGCTATTCTTTATAGTACTATGGTATAGTATTATATATAGTATATATTATATACCCAGTCCACTGGAATATTTTATAGTGGCCTACGCAAAAGAAAGATACATGCATAAGACTGAATAGTGCTGGATGATATAGATTCTTAAGAATTATATGTGACTTCTGTCATGCATTTTGTGAAACAGAAACATGTAATACATTTACAAGAATTACTTAGTAAGCAGACTGTTTTCTGGTTAAATTAACATACACTGCACACTTACAATTAGTAAACAATTAAAACATATAGCTGAACATCTTGAAATGGTTATGAAACAATCATCATTGCCACATCATAATAAAAGGAATTGAGGACTAGCAAGGAAATGAGTTTGTACAAATGCAGTGGTTGGTATCCACATTTTACATTCAATCATAATATTACAAAAATAACAAGTAAACTATTAGACTCAACACCACTTCACATAAACTTCTAAAATTATACTTAGGAAGCTAACTAAAAATTACTAAAATTACATTATAGAAATAACATACTGAAATGTGAATTTAGGAACCATAATACAGTTTAAGATTTATGTCTAAGGGATTAGGTTGTCAGTAAGAACACCATTTTACATTTAGTTAAAAATCTAACACCTTTCATATGAAGAAAAAAATGTGTCTTTTATTGATCATTAAAATTTTTCTGCTACTATAAAATTCCCCTGTACTACACAGAACCTAAAGAGGGCAGCAAGGCCTACACATTCACTAAAAGGCAAAGCATGATTTACAAGCTTGTTCCCTATGAAATTTTTTTGCAAGTAATTTCCTGCCCTCTAGCTTCTTGTAATTTAATATATTAGAGACAGGGTTAAATTATCAAAAGCAACTTTGAACTAGAATATAGCATTGTTCAGCACTACTTCACTAATTCTTTATTTGAAAATTAAAACTATCTTCTGCTGCAATTCTTTCCAATAGTCATTGTCAACACTTGGTATTTTAAACGTTTTAGAAGAGCCAGTGGTTGATCTTTAACTAAACAGCCCGAGTTTGAGAGAGACAAACTCTTTTTTCCCTGCAAACAACCCAGACATAACTGCTATCCTTGTTAAAATTCTTCATGCCAATCTATCAATCACACAATACAGAAGAAATGACAGTATGCAGAGGATTTCTCATCTCCAATTTTGTTTGTTTACTGTAAAGATATATTATGTCCTCTATATATTGCTTTCTAATAAAAAACCCCAAGAATTTAAGAAGGAATTTATCCTGCAGACTGCTTCAGGATTTCTATAAAACACATGTTTTTAAACATAAGCACTGTTGATTTGCAACCTACTGGTGCTACAGGTGCTAAAGTAAGTAGTGCTAAGTAGTAAGGTCAACTAATACAACTGTAAAGATTAGAATCCTTACCCTAAACCCTCGATTGAGTCTGTCTTTCATAATGCCAATAAATTCTTTATAACTCAACTGGTCATCTCTGTCGACATCAAAAATCTTGAACACTGTGTTCACCAAATGTGGTGAAAGCTTCACACCTGTGGCTACATACACAGCACGTTTGAATTCATCTGCATAAAGAGAACATCAGAAGAAAAAATAAAATACATGAATTTAATCCTACTTTGTGAACAACATATTATGAAATACAAGTAAAGTTTTAACTTGAGTTTTCACATTTAAACACTCAAAAAATAAGAAAACGTGAAAATTAGGATGAATTTCACAGTTCTAAATCAAGTAGTTCTCAACTGATATAAAATGATACTGCTTAATTGGTATCAATTATTTTACACAAAAAGTAACAGTCCATATACTATACTATGTGTAATAACAAAATTAGAAAATCATATTATAATTAAACCCATGTTACATACATACTGATGGCATCTACTTAACTGACACAAAACAGAACCTAAAAAACAGAGCACAGAGAAAAGAATGTACTCCTTTGGTAAGGTCACAGGAGGTAGCGCTATGCTGATGTTAATGTGTCAGGCTCACAAAGATGCTACTTGGGGAGAGCACACAAGTCTGACCACTTCTCATATTCTTCACCTTGCAATCTGCAAGCATCTTAACTGTTGTATTAAGCATTTTAGTCAGTACATACCTGCCTAGTTCTTTCAGCACCCACTTACTGATTTGTTCAAAAATCTGTCTAAGCCCTCTTCGGACCTTCTGACACTGTTTCCTCCTACAACCTTTCCAGAATGCCAGATTCCAGACACCCACTGTGTAAAGAAATGCTTTTGTTTGCTTTAAAGTGATCTCTTACTGGTGTCATCAAGTGACTCTTAACTCTTGTATTGTAAGATTTGGTGACCAACTATTCTGCATTCAGCTCATCCACCACTTATATGACTTTGTAAAGCTTTATCATATGATGTGACTGAGCCTTCTCTCACAGCTGGAGTCTAAGCCTTTTTAGTCTTTTATCTGAGGCATTAAAACTACAAACTAGGAATTACAAAACATTTTTGTATTTCTGTCAACAGTTCTGTATCTTTATTATCAGATTGTTACAAAAATATAAACACTTACCCTGACCTATGGAACGACTTGCAAAATTATACATTTGCATTGCAATTGTAAAGTCTTCTAGGTTGTTCAGGAACTGGAAAAATGATCTAAACTCATCAAATGTGATACCCTAAAAAATAAAAGAACAACATGCACCGTAAGAATCATCAGTAGTGATGACAACTGAATAAATAAACCTTGCAGTTACACATGTCTACTTTAAGAATTGATACTACACCCATTGAAAAAATAGCGATTTGTAAGGAAAGTCAATAAAATAAAGAATTGGAGTCTCCTGAGGAATCCAAGATGTCTTTCCTCTTTGCCACTGCAACGGATAGCAATTCTCACCAAAAAGTAGTCAAAAATATTGTTCCATTGCTTAAGACAATCTTTAAGAATTCCAGGATTATTACGATACGGCAGTTAACATTGAGAGTCGGTGTTTAGGTTTGTATGAATATTGGGATATGTTTACTACTGAAAACCCGCAAACCACTATTATATATATGTGAGTGTGTATGCTCACATAAATACACTGAATGAATTCATGAACACATGTTATGATCTAACTTAAGCTCTGTACTTTAAGGTGAAGTTTGTACATATCCAGATTTATGATCCAAGTCTCTTCAGCTGATACTCCAAGTATCAAGTATTGCACGGTTTGTCCAGCTTTTTAAAAAACCTTTTGCATTTTGACCAGACTTCAGAATATCTTTGGTGAAAGTTTCTCTGAAAGTGTTGTTGTTAAATGAGCTTATTTTTATTTCTTTCCTTTTAATGTTCTGCATTTCTCTTATCACAGAATCACAGAATACCAGGTTGGAAGGGACCTCAAGGATCATCTGGTCCAACCTTTCTTGTCAAAAGCACAGTCCAGACAAGATGGCCCAGCACCCTGCCCAGCTAAGTCTTAAAAGTGTCCTTAACTGCAAATCTAAAGACTCAATAAACTATCTCTAAATTAATTTTGAAAGAGACCTTAAACAGAGACTCTGAATTAAGCCAGGACCATTGCCTATATACCTCATCCTCCATGGTCTGTCAGCCATTCTGAACATGGGATGGCATTCTTCACCAAACTTTGATCTCCCTGGCCTCCTTTAACTATCATAGAATCGTTTTAAGTTGGAAAAGACCTTTAAGATCATCAAGTCCAACCGTTAACCTAGCACTGCCAAGTCCACCAGTAAACTATGTCCCTAAGCGCCACACCTACACACACATCTTTTAAATACCCTCAGGGATGGTGACTCAACCACAGCTTGTTCCAGTGCTCGATAACTCTTCTGGTTGAGAAATTTTTCCTAATGTCCAATCTAAACCTCCCCTGGGGCAACTTGAGACCATTCCCTCTTGTCTTATCACTTGCTACTTGGGAGAAGAGGCTGACCCCCACCTCACTACAACCTCCTTTCAGCTAGTTACAGAGAGCAATAAGGTCTCCCCTCAGCCTCCTCTTCTCCAGGCTGAACAACCCCAGTTCTCTTAGTTGCTCCTCATAAGACCTGTTCTCCAGACCCTTCGCCAGCTCCACTGCCCTTCTCTGGACACGTTCCAGCACCTCAATGTCTTTCTTGTAGTGAGTGGCCCAAAACTGCACACAGTATTCAAGGTGTGGCCTCACCAGTGCCGAGTACGACAATCCCTTCCCTACTCCTGCTGGCCACACTATTTCTGACAACACGGGCTAGGATACTATGGACCTTCTTGGTCACCTGGGTACACTGCTGGCTCACAGGTCCTTTTCCGCCAGGCAGCTTTCTGGCCACTTATCCCCAAGCCTGTAGTGTTGCATGGGGTTGTTGTGACCAAACTGCAGGACCCAGCACTTGGCCAATCATTCCTGGCTATTCTTCTGTCTGCTTTTATCCTTTTATCCTATTTAACTACTCCCTGAAAATAAAGACCTGTGAGCCTCTCTCCTCAAAGGTATACATAGTCATTATGGTATGGTGGAACACAGAAAACATACTGAAGTAGGTTTGTGGCAGAGGAGAAAATGGCAGAGGTTGGATGTAAACCCATATGAGACAGCAAGTAATGTGGTAAATATGGAGAGCAACATAATATTGTTAGAATAAAAGACATGAATAGGCCTCCACCCACCTGAGATGTAAACCACTGCTTAAGTGATCCCACCTAAGCCCTAGCTAAGATTTATAAACTGTTTCATTGGAGAGCTTGACCCATCTCCATCAAGAATTGATCCTTCTCAACAAGCACATTTTGTCCTCTGTTTCATCCTTTGCAATTGGGAGGAAACTCTCATGGACACAAGCAGAACCACCTCCTTATTCTCCTTTAAATTTTTATCTTAAAAGCTTAATTTACCAATACTAACCAATACTGACTTCTTGTTTTATCGTGTTTCACATCTAACGGTTTATGTCCAAGTTCTGTTTCTTGCACTCTCTTTAGACTGAAAACTCTGGGATTGGAATAATTTTGTCACATATTTGTGAAATTCCTAGACTAGTGAAACTTCAGTCCCCAACTAGGACCCTCAGGTACTATGACAAAATAGAAACAATAGAAAATGGCCATCAAAGTCTTGAGCTGATATTTTTAGGTTCACAATGATTTTTAAAAATCTTCAACTTGCACCGATATATCTGTAACGATTCTGAATGCGGGAGATATCATAAAAGGTCAGGCTACTGCAAAAATCCTGCCTATTTCCATGTAACTGAAGAGGACATGAACAGTCTAGATGAGAAGTAGCCCTTGCATAGGTAAGACTGAGAACCACTGGTCTACAAACAAGCATTTTTGCAGCTTCTGTTGTTTCCAGTGGTGTTGAAAGCTGCTGCCATGATTTGACACTGGAGATGAAGCACGGAGATAAAGGAGCCACACCTGCAGTCCATAGCTAAACTGTACATACTCCACAACATCTTAGCAATGAGAAAAATATTTAGCTTCATTTAGGAGTTCTACAATTTCTGCTGTAATCATCTGCAATCATACATGCATTTTTCCTCTCAAGGAAAAACAGCAAAGGACACAAAAGAGGCAGAAGGGCAGGCAAAATGACACTCAAAGAGAGTTGGGCATACAGCATTCTACTGTCTCTCTCCTTTCCTAAGACCATATTTTGTTCAACTAGTAGCCGTAGTAACATTTCCTATGTGCCATTTCACGTTTTGACATAGGAAGTTATGCTAGGAGTTTCCTACTGGAAACTATTTATTTTCTATATAAAAGGAAATTAACTTTTTTATTTATTTTGACAGATTACATTTTACTACAGCAAAGAAAACTGTTATATTAATGCACCAATACTGTTAAAAAAGTACAGACTTTCTTTAGGAGCTCATATTTGTAGTAAGTCAAGATGCCAGCTTAAATGAATCACTGCTTGGCATCTAGTTAGTAAAAGAAGGAAAACATCCTGTGAGCAGGCAGCATGCCAGCTGAACATTTTAAAATGACTACAGTACGCCAAATGATCATCATGTTGCTTTAGAGGCTTCTACATACATTGCCACGAAAGATTAACATTGCCAAGTGTGAGAGTAGCTGCCTGTTACTTCACAGGCTAGACTAATTTTTCTTCTAAATGGAATACTCTCGTTCGTACTAGTACTGCAGCGTACCACTGTAATAAAATAGGTGGGAAGTGTCCCTGCCATGGCAGGGGGGTTGGAACTAGATGATCTTTGAGGTCCCTTCCAACCCAAACCATTCTATGACTCTACGATATTGTTATTACAAGCGTAAAAATGTGCAAACACACGAACAACACCTCCATGGCAATAAAAGGCAAAGTCCCATTCTCAAAAGTCTGTGGCCAGATGTCTGACAAGAGATGTCACAAGAATTTACTTTTTTTACTGTACTGACAGCACATTTACCAAGCCAATGATAATGGAGCTACGGAAAATGGCAGTGTCTTGTTTTACTTAGTGAAGGCATAGTATATGACATACAGATAATATGGCACTGGCCAAGTGCCAGGATATTCCCAGCACGTAGCATAAACAAACCTGTAACTGACTAACAGTTTTCTACATGGACATTTTTCTCAGCTGATGGTCTCACCAGACATCAAGAAGAGAAAAATAGCATGGAACACTTGTTATCAGCACAGTGGCACTGGAAGACTTAAGAGATGAACTTCAAAGAATTCTTCCTTGAGTTTAGAAGAAAGTGTCTGTATTTATATTTACTTAATCAACTTCACCTTTGCCATTCAAAGAAGTATTTCTCTGTAACTATGACTGTCATAATTTTTCCCAAGTGATACTTATGTAATTGCTGTTATACGAGCCCAAATTTATTTTTTTTTTAGATTTCCATATATATGGAAATATTTCACCCTAAACAAAAAATCTGGGAACCACGCAAAAAGAGCTTTATACCACTTCTGCTGCACTGTCTTCGCTTTGAATACTGAAAGGTGCATAGACCTTTTACCATTAGAACTGAACACCTCAGTGGCTAGACCAGGAACTCAGAAAGGGTCGGCGAGTAGGAACTCTGATCCCAATCTTACCGCTTCATCTTACACCTAATCTCGTGCAAAAGAGAGCGCCCTCTCTCCTCTTTCCATTCCCCAGCTATATTTATCTCTCAGTGTACCTAACTGCTGTACAACCACAGGAAGAATCAGATAACCCAGATATTTGAACAGAAACCTGATTTTTGGAGAGTGTTTCTGTCAGGTCAGCTGACCTTACTTACTCTGTAGACTGATACTACAATGTAATTTCTCAAACAAAAAAACCGTGAACTGTCCAAACCCATTTATTACTTTTCTTCAAAAGCTCTGCTGTCAATGCTATTAAAATATATAGCTATTGAAAGAGTTAGATTTCTAGGACAGATTAATCTGATCTCTTTCTGTAAAAACAAACAGAATAAGTATATCCAAAACAACCCTTATTTGAAGGACTACTTTTAACATTATTCTATTGACTAACATTGATGCATAGTTGCCACCACATTTCTCTCAGATACACTTCTGACAACACCTTTGTTGTTAAACAAATGAAGGACTACCTACCTCATGACCTTTACTGTTTTTATTATCTTTGCTACCTCTTCAGCCATTAATAACAACCCACCAATAATTATATAAAAGTGATCCATTACTACGACTATAAAACAACTAGATGAAGGGTGTCAATATTATCTTTGAAGAGATGCTATTCCAGTGGCAGTGCAAAAGAGAGGAAAAAAAGGTTTTTTAATACCTCATTGCTAGAAAATTGTTCTTTTTCAAGTCTTATTTTTTTTGCTGTATAAACTGAATTTTCATGTAATACAAAGCTTTGTTATCTAAACTTCAAAAATATTACTAGCATAATTCTATGCTATTTACTCTTCTACTTTTTATTCAGCATGTAATCTGAAAAACATGATACACACATCTTATGATCAGAACAAAATCCTGGTGCTATTTAATTCAGTGACAGAACCTCATTCAGTCCAACAAGGCTATGTTTTCATCTTGGTAACACTGGGACTGGATGCTGTGGCCCACTGCTGTCCTAGCTAAACAATTACCTTTTCTTCAGGAATCCTGCAGCGCATGTTTTCCAGGTAACTTGATGTATTTTCCACATTTGTATACCTCAAAAGAATATGGGCAAAGTCTTCCTCACTGATGGTGTTCATTCCATTAGAGTAGGAAAGGAACTCTATCTCTAGAACCTCAGTTTGCAGGTTATCCATAAATCTAAAGCACAAACATAAATGAAAAACAAATAGTAATACTTTATGTTTCTATTATTCATGTCCTTAAAAGACTCATACAATATAAAGCCAAATACCATTATACAAATCAGTTCCCTTTTCATAGCAATGACAGTAAATTTGGTAAATCCCTTATCTACGCTGGCATATTTTCTAATGAATACAACAATCTTAACTCAAAGATTAAGTGTTTTAGTAAAGACTAAAATGACTTAATACTTACATTTCTAATTTACTTCTAGTTTGTGTTTGCTTACTTTTCTTCTTCAGTGGGTCACTGATCTTTGTTTTTACACACTAGTCTGGAAATTCCATCATGGTACTAAATGAATTCCCCAAATTTATTCCCCATATAAACACTCACAGATTGCTATTAAACCTTACTTCTCTCTTTTTAACAAGCTAAGTATGATGAGGTCTTGCAGCCTTCCAATCTAAACTTTTTTTTACTACTTCACTATGATTATATTTCATAGAATCATATCACAGAATGGTTTAGGTTGGAAGAGACCTTAAAGATCATCCAGTTCCAACCCCCCTGCCATGGGCAGAGACACCTTCCACTACACCAGGTTGCTCAAAGCCCCATCCAACCTGGCCTTGATCTCTGCCAGGGAGGGGGCAGCCACAGCTTCTCTGGGCAACTAGTTCCCATGTCTCACCATCCTCACAGTGAAGAACTTCTTCCTGATATCTAATCTATATCTACCCTCTTTCAGTATGGAACCGTTACCCCTCATCCTATCACTGCCCTCCCTGGTAAAGAGTCTCCCCACCTTTCCTGCAGGCCCCCTTGGGAGTACTGGAAGGCCGCTAGAAGGTCTCCCCAGAGCCTTCTCTTCTCCAGGCTGAACAACCCCAACTCTCTCAGCCTGTCCTCATAGGGGACATGCTCCAGCCCTCTGATCATCTTCCTGGACTTCCTCTGGACCTGCTCTAGCAGGTCCATGTCATTCTTATGATGGAGGCCCCAGAACTGAACGCAGTACTGCAGGCGGGGTCTCACGAGAGCAGAATAGAGGGGTAGAATAATCTCCCTCGACCTGCTGGCAACACTTCTCTTGATGCAGCCCACGATACAGTTGGCCTTCTGGGCTGCAATTGCACATTACAGGCTCATGTTCAGTTTTTCATCCACCAGCACCGCCAAGACCTTCTCCATAGGGCTGCACTTTATTCACTCATCACCCAGCCATTTCTATAAATTCTTTCCAACTTAACAACATTTTGTATATTCTTGACACCAAAACTGAATAAAGTATAAAACCAGCTATACATTAAAAAAAGGAAATATAATTTCCCTGATTCTGCTTGATGTCCTAAGTTATTCAAGCAAGGATGAAATTAGGTCTCTGGTCACAGTATTGCACTGGGGGCACATGTTTGTCTGATTGTCAACCGCAACCTGTAACACTTCCCTGTTACAGGTTCCCAAGAGTTTGCATCCTGTAGACATTGTCTGCAACACTTCTTTCTAATATATAATAGTCCATAGTTTTATGGGGGTTTGAGCTGCTAAAGTAGTGTTGAATAGAACTTGATGCATCCTTCTTTCATTAATACATCTACTAGATTTTGACTTCTTTAGTGTTCACAACATCTTGCAGCAATAGATTTTAACTAGATGTTTTTTGAAAAAGTATCTTCTTTTCTGGTTCTTGTTTTGTACTCACATCATGATTTCGCTTGACAACACAGTTTTTATACTATGTGAAATACTGAATACTTTCCATGACACACATAATATTAAGGCAAAATACTGCAATCTGATTGATTAGAATGCACAGTTAAGTGATAACTATAAAGATAACAGGTATTGGGAGTATTTACTGAGGAAACAATAAATAAACATTGTATCTCTGTCAATCACATAGAAACATACAGTTTTATGGCTCTGTTTTTATGGCACTCTCCCTATATTTTTAAATTCTATTTAAACTGGTGTAACAATTAAGCCAATAGCTTCCACTGTGTTTTCACTTTTTCCTGAAGAAGATTGTTCTAAGTTGCCTACATGATATCTGCAGAAAATTCTTTACATTTAAAAGTCCCTAAGAGCAGAGATGTACACAAAGTTTTTTTAAAGCACTGAAAAACACGGGGAAAAAATAAAAATAATTCAAAACCAAGAAAAACATTCCAACATACCAATAAGGACAGGGTTGTGGTATAACCTCTCCACCCCACAACAACTACGCACACAAGTGCATATGCAGCAGCATTAGTACAGGACATTTTATTGTTAGCTCACTTATCGTTTTATTTTGCTCTTTGTATATATAATACACACAAAAGGAATATAAACTTTATATACATGTCTGCATAAACTATCTGTATAGTAATGTAATACATACTAATTAGAACAAGGATGCAAGTATTTTTTTACAAGGAATTAATAAAGTTGAGACTCACCTATAAAAATCTTCAAAGTTTAGTTCAGCTTTTCCTTTCTTGCCGAAGAAGTGTACAAGCAGTGTAGTATCTGACAGTGAACTTGAAATATCATCAGCTCGCTTAAATATTAGAATAAAAAAAATTAAAGGCCATGACTGGATCTGTTACAGAAGTACAATCTGAGAATGCCTATCATCACAATAGACCTCTCTATTAAAAGAGTTTGTGTTTTATCTTCATAGTCTTAAAAGAGTTTAGTATTAAAATCCATTAAATTAATTTAGTCATGCAATTTTCACACAAAATAGCATTAGGCTGTTAATTGTATTTAGCAGAAAACACTTAAAACAACAATATAGTATAATCGAAGCTACAATGAAGGGGGAAAAAGCATGAAAAACAAAACCAGAAACTCTTGAGGAAAAAAAAATGTTCTAGACAGTTGAGGTAAACCATAAAAATAACTCCCTTTGTACACAATCTCCTTTCCCTTCTACTATGCAACTACAAAGAAATTAAAGGATGTTACTTCATATACTCTTATATTTCAAAATTATTAAGTATGGGATTGTATTCCAAAACCACTCGCATCAGTCACGTGTACTTTATATGATACTTTTCTATAAGCAGCAGATGACTACAGCTTAAGTTTTATTGCCCAAATATATTTAAAACAACAGAATTGTAAGAAATTTTGAAATCATGAAGTAATATTTTGACTCATTCTCTTAAGAATGTTCCTCATCTACTGAGTGTGTGGTCCCTGCATGAGACAGGAATCTTTGAACATGTACTAATACTTTTGCTTTTATAAATAACTATCAACTTTGAAGGCACAGAATTAGAATAGTAAAATAAACTAATTTTTACTATATGTAACAGCAAGAGTTGTAAACAGGAAGACATGCATATAAACAGAAATAACTATAATGTGCATATAGTGATTGTGCAACATTCCACTTTTTTACTACATATTCACTACCCTTAACTATCATGCATGTACATCTTTTACAAAGAAACTCAATATACTGGACAGCAAGAAAAATAGTTGAGTAATATAAGGCTTTTAAATAAGCCATGGTATTAGAATCATAGAATGGTTTAGGTTGGAAGGGACCTTAAAGATCATCTAGATCCAACCCCCCTGCCACGGCCAGGGTCACCTTCCACTATACCAGGCTGCTCAAAGCCCCATCCAACTGGCCTTGATCTCTGCCAGGGAGGGGGCAGCCACAGCTTCTCTGGGCAACTAGTTCCCATGTCTCATCATCCTCAGAGTGAAGAACTTCTTCCTGATATCTAATCTAAAACTACTCTCTTTCAGTGTGAAACTGTTACCCTTCAGCCTATCACTACCCTCCCCGGTAAAGAGTCCCTCCCCACCTTTCCTGCAGGCCCCCTTGGAGCACTGGAAGGCTGCTAGAAGGTCTCCCCAGAGCCTTCTCTTCTCCAGGCTGAACAACCCCAACTCTCTCAGCCTGTCCTCATAGGGGACATGCTCCAGCCCTCTGATCATCTTCCCAGACCTGCTCTAGCAGGTCCATGTCTTTCTCATGCTGGGGGCCCCAGAACTGAATGCAGCACTGCAGGTGGGGTCTTAGTGCACATTGCTGGCTCATTTCAGTTTTTCGTCCACCTGTAACCCCAAGTCCTTCTCCACAGGGCTGCTCCTGATCCACTCATCATCCAGCCTGTATCTGTGCTGGGGATTGCCCCAACCCAGGTGCAGGACCTTGCATACCTCTCCAGTGTAAAGACAAAGATGTTGTGCAGGACAGTGTCAAATGCTTTGCACAAGTCCAAGTTGATGATACCAGTTGCTCTTCCCTTATCCACTGATCACACGCTGTTGTCAGCAAACTCGCTGAGGGGGCAACTCGATCTCACTGTCCGTGTCACCAACAAAGATATTAAACAGCACCGGTCCCAATACCGACCCTGAGGAATGCCACTTGTCACTGGTCTCCACATGGACATCAAGCTGTTGACCGTGATTCTTTCAGAGTCACCATCCAGCCAACTCCTGATCCACCGAGTGGTCTATCCTCTCCTATTTAGAGATAAGGATGTCGAATGCTTTGCACAAGTCCAGGTAGATGACATCAGTTGCTCTTCCCTTAAAACATCAGTTGCTCTTCTCTTATCCACCAACACTGTTACCCCATTGTAGAAGGCCACCAAGTTTGCCAGGCACAATTTGCCCTTAGTGAAGCCATGTTGGCTGTCACCAATCAACTCCTACTTTCCATGTGCCCTAGCATGTTTTCCAGGAGAACTTGCTCCATGATCTTTCTGGACATAAAGGTGACACTGACTGGCCTGTGGATCTCCAGGTCTTACTTTTCTCCTTTTTTAAAAATGGGGTTTATGTTTCCCCATTTCCAGTCAGCAGGATCTTCACTGGACTGCCACTGCTTCTCAAATATGATGGATAATCCGCCAGTTCCCTCAGGACCCGCAGATGCATCTTACCAGGTCCCACAGACTTGTGCACCTTCAGGTTCCTTAGATGATCTCAAACCTGATCTTCTCTTACCTGATCTTCTCTTACAGTGGCAGTTTTTAATTCTGCCAATCCCTGCCTTTGCCTTCTGTGACTTGGGTGGTGTGGCTGGAGCACTTGCTGGTGAACACTGAGATGAAAAAGTTGTTCAGTATCTCAGCCTTCTTCACATCCTTGTAACCTTCTGGAGATGGCCCACATTTTTCCCAATGCTCCTTTTATCACCAACGTACCTACAGAAGTTTTTCTTGTTGCCCTTGAAGTCCCTGGCCAGATTTAACTCTATCAGGGCTTTGGCTTTCCTAACCTGATCCCTGGCTGCTTGGACAATTTCGCTGTATTCCTCCCAGACTACGTGTCCTTACTTCCACCCTCTGTAGGCTTCCTTTTTGTGTTTGAGTTTGTCCAGGAGCTCCTTGTTCATCCATGCAGGCATCCTGGCATTCTGGCCAGCCTTCTTTGTCGAGAAGCATCCTGAGCTTGCAAGAGGTGATCCTTGAATTTTAACCAGCTTTCTTGGGCCCCTGTTCCTTCTAGGGCTGTATCCCACGCTACTCTACCAAGCAGGCCCCTGAAAAGGTCAAAGTCCACCCTCCAACCACCATTGCAATGTCCTTCTGGCATTAATGTGCATATAACAACATTTGAAATTCAAAAAGTAATATATTTAGTCACCTTGCTGCACCTGCCTAGGGAGAACCGCCTGTCCAAGCTCTCATTTTTCTTACAAAGACAAGATTTTATGAAAAGAGTGGGAGCCAGTAGTCTCTGCTTTTCCTAGACAAGCTGCCACTCATTAGCAACACCATATTTTTGTGGAAGTGTGCTTGCCGACTCTACTGTTAAAGTACATAACAGAATACACAGTACAGAAACCTATAAAACATTTGGGAGATGTAACTACTAATTTATCACCATAATCATAGAATCATAGAATGGTTTGGGTTGGAAGGGACCTCAAAGATCATCTAGTTCCAACCCTGCTGCCATGGGCAGAGACACCTCCCACTAGAACAGGTTGCTCAAAGTCCCATCCAACCTGGCCCTGGACACTTCCAGTTATTGAGCTTCCACAACTTCCTCAGGCAACCTGTTCCAGTGTCTCACCACCCTCAGGCTGAAGAACTTCCTCCTTATATCTTGTCTAAACCTGCCCTCTCCCAGCTTCCAACCATTACCCCTCATCGTATCACTACATACCCTTGTAAAAAGTCTCTCCCCAGCCTTCTTGTAGGCCCCCTTTGGGTTCTGGAAGGTCGCTATAAGGTCTCCCCGGAGCCTTCTCTTTTCCAGGCTGCACAAGCCTGACTCTCTCAGCCTGTCCTCATAGGAGAGGTGTTCCAACACTCTGACCATTTTGGTAGCCCTCCTAAACCTACAGGATTTACTGTAAGCATAGAAAGCTGTTTATACAGATCTATAAAGATCTGCGTATACAAAGCTGCAAGCTGCACTCAGAGTCCTTTAAGTCTGACTTTATTTCCTAACTGAAGAGGCTATAAATTTATAACAGACAGAGAAACTCTACATGAAAAAACTTGGAAGAAATTTTGAACAGCATGCAGTAGTTCAACATCATGTACCATGAAAAATAATTTCATATCTACATTCTCTGAAATGTAATTTCAAATTTACATACTGATTTGTAAAAAATGTAAAATGTGATATCCATTAAGAGTATTTGTGTACCATCAACAAGGAAAAACATGAGGCACTAACACCATGAATCCTTTCCTTTCAACATCCAAGAAGTAAAGTAATGAGACAGACTTTTCTGTGCTTTAGTATAATCAGTTTAGGATTCTCAAGATTCTATTTCATGTACTCCAGCTTCCTCTTTATTCTCATATTCTTCTCCAGGGAAAAATAAGACGACATAGTGTATATATAGGTAGAGAGATATTTCATGTCCTTCAATTAAGACAGCTCTGCTCTTCAAGAGAGCAAACTAATTCAGAAAAGTAATCACTATTTGTGTTTTAACAGTGTTACCCTCCACTATAGGACACAATATACTGAAACGCAGATACCCTTATTTCTTATGTCTTTTAAGCAATTAAATCCCTAAGCACATTCAAACAATTTCCCTCAAGTACACTGAAAAGATATCAAATGTTAAATTACAGCCTTTCATCTTGCAAAATCATTTCAAAACCTCAGGCTTAGGTTGCATCCACCCATATCTAAAGAACCATTTAAAAAAAATACAACCTGTAAGTCTTTTCACAATTCCCATTTGGTCAGCCTCACTAAATGAAAAAACCTCAAACAAAAAACCCCACCCCAGAAACTCAACCCAGTATGCTTCTCTGCAGAATTGCAGGCAACTGAAAACTATTCCTGCTCCCTCTGCATTCATAGCATTAAATAAATTCTCTCAAGGGGTAAGGATAAAAACAAAAGCCTTAATAATTTAAAACCATTCATAATAAAAAGAATTTTGTATTTTAGATCAGTGAAAATGAAATGACAACACCTGTTTCCATATATACAAATATACAGCCTCTATTGTGATCTGATATATTTAAATGAGAATAAACCCCTGCCTCGTTTCTCTTCACCTTTACACTAACTGTAATACAAATACAAGTAAAGAGAGAAACAAGAGAGACAAGTGTTTCAGTCACGTTACTGGCTTGCTGCATAATGGCAACATCTTTTCTTCTCAATTTCCTACCCTGAAGAGCAGTAAATCTATTTTTTTTAATATTCTGCAAAATTAATTTCAAGCTTTTGATTTGAGAGTATTGACAAAGTAAGTTACACTTATAAGCGATGGTCCACTTGTAGCAACATATTCTGAGAATGAAGTATGCATAGTATGCTTTGAATTAATAAGAGCTTTCTTACTGCAAGTCCTTGATTTTTCAATAGTGATAATAAATCTACTGATTTCCATTCATTTAGTAATTTAAGAATAAACCCACAATCTGAATTCAGTGATAACTGGCATATTCCAACAGGATGGTGCAGTTGCTAAATTAGGAATAGCAGAAACAGTACTGTAAATTGTCCTAGAAAGAAACTGGATGTGAATGAATAACTTCTTTTTCCCCCAGAGAGACCTTGTAAGTTGATTCCCACAACAACAAACCTTATTTACTCTCCTTTTCAACTTACACAAGGCCTTCTCAAAAGGCTATGAAACAACACAGACTTCAGTGTCACCTAGCTTTGTACCACTTTCTTAGTACAGTTGGCTATATTATTATTCAGATGTGAGAGTACCTGGGAGAGATAAGAATATGGATGAAAGCCAGCCATCTCAAACTTAATCCAAGCAAGATAAAAATGATTACAGTAAGAAGTGGGAATTTGTCAGTGGAGCAAATGCAGGACACGATTTTTCTTCATAAAATAATTTACAAGTGAGCAGAGAGACTTTTTATACATTTTACAGACAAAGTAAATCGATGTTTAGTATAGCTGCTGTTAAGCTTCAATTACACTGTAGTTACAGATATTAGTCTGAGGATTCAGACATAAAAAACCTTTCTTCAAATTAAAGGTGTGGAGAGATTACCAAACGTGTGTCCATCTATACTTCAGACTGAATTCATGTCAGCTAACTGTAGACTAAGAAGACAAGTTAATTCAGAAAACTCTTTGCCCCAAGCTCCTTAAATAGCCAATGAAAAGAGCAACCCTCTCTTGCCTCTGTGTCTCTCTTAGCTGACTAGACAAGGTTTAAAATTTGGTGCAATAAAGGACGACTAATAACTGGACTAATAATTCAAGAGCTCATAAATTTAAAAGAAAGGAAAGAAAAGCTGGGTGTACTGCTTTATTGCAAGATTACTATGAATGTATTATTACTATGAATATTGCTATAAATATTGGTTTGGTATAAAACTCAATTCTCTAACACTACATCTTGGTTTTTTCAACGGCAAATGAACTCAAGCTGAGAGAGGTACAGAGAAGGCCTATTTGATACTTGGGAAATGTAGGTTCTACCTTCAGAGGAAAATGAAAGACCTTGTCATGTTTAGCCTATGATAATTAAAACTAAGGGCTATGACTGAGTTTATAAACACAACCAAGAGTAAGAAGATTAATACTAAAGAAGAAAAAGCCCTATGAAAGTTAAGGGACAACAGACTGGTACAAAGGGACTATGAGTAAATTTAGCCTTGACATTAGAAAAAGTCCATCCAAGTACTCAGGTAATTCAATAACTTCTGCAGAGGACCAGCAGGGACAAAACACTAATTATTTTTAATATAGAGCACACATTGCTTATGAAGCAAAGAAAAAGACTGTTTTGTCCCAGAGGTCCATTTCAGTTCCATGCTCTTTTCTCATTATGATTCTGCTTATGAAGCATGGGACTTGAGACCAGCGTCAGTGTGGAGTTGCTGTATGTCCTTTAATGCCTCAACAGCAGAACAATCACCCTTACTGTATGGGGCACAGAAAAGCCTAAATGATCTAGTTTTCTGATCCTCTTAAATGATCAATACAAATAAATGTCTTAATTATCTGAAAGCAGATCATGAAACAAGAATCTTGTTAGAATTTAAAGCACTATGGAAATTAATTTGACAGCTCAGTGATATTGCTAGTCCTCCATAGTGATCGTGTAAGACTAAAAAAGATTGACTAATGTTTTGGTTACCCTAACACATTCCTGGTTTAATCCATAACTAATGCAATCTTTGCATGATACTGTTTTTGAGAAGAAAGCTCTAATAACATACATAAAAACCACATTAAGGACGTAAAGTTTAAAAGCTTAAAGAGCTGCAACTCTCATTAAAGCTGTAATATCACTGGACCAAGCCTAAATGACAAAGGTTCCCTGAAATACTTCTCTTAACTGTGAAATATTGTCAACATTAGTGTTAGAAAATGTTTCTTATAGTAAGGACTGAAGAGGACTTGATATTCCAACTCTTTCAAAAGGTAACCTTGTTTTTACTTGGAAATGACAACTTTCAATTATTGCACTGCATAGAACCAAATCCATTTAATCTGAGAAATTTCAGGTTTTTTTAAAAAAAAAGTAATTAAAAGGAAGAGAGTACAAACAAAGTACATAAAATAGGAAAGTAACCAGTACTGAAATAAATAAAATAGCAATCTGTTTATGGACCAGAGACAGAGGTTGTCTTATACCTCCGCAAGGTCCGAAAAGAGTGCTTGGCTTGTGCTACGTCTCAAAGTATCCCAATAGCTTCTGGGGACAAGGTCCTCTCCTTCTGTTTTAAGAACCTGCAGAAGTTTCAAGAAGCAGAATTGTTTGAGAAGCAAAGAACAATAAACAACCGCTTACAGACTTTAAAATCTTTTCCAACTGATCTTCAAAAGCATGGTTTGATTCTTTTGCTTCTATACAGAGAAATTTCTACCCAGTACATGTAAACAAAAGGAACACTGGTCTATGACAGCTATTTCCTTATTACTCATACCTTGGCCATGCCAAAAGTATCACCAGACTCCACTTTCCCAGACAAAATAAATTAGAGAAAGTGTAAAGTGAAAATATTTATTACAAGTATATGTGAACAAGTCCATCTAAACTCAGTATTTTGCTGTTTTTTCTAACAAATCTGTTTTGCCAAAAAAATAGTAATTTATATACTTATGAAACTTGTTTTCCATTAGTCAAAATATAAATATCACCATATAACTAGTTACATAAAATTAATTTCATTCAATAATCAGGATGAGAAACTTGCAACAATAAGGAAATCCAAAACCCAAGCCTAAGTCCAACTTCAACTGTAACATACTTATCAAGAAAGCACTATGCACATCTGATGATCAAACTTACCTTGTTTAAACTGAAAATAAGTGTTTAATCTCTCCCAGGAAAATACGTTTACCTTTTTGCTCTGAAATGTTTTATTTTTGGAAGCCTGAAAAGTCCTCCCTTATTAAAACAGGCCTTCCTTTATCTTGCAGTTAGTCTTGGAAGATCTATGCATGTACTTTTTTTTTTTTCTCCCCAAAGCATCTAGGGCAGGTGATCCTAAAGACGGCAGAAGGCTATTTGAACTTTGTTAGGCTTATTGCAACTGAACAAATTTTCCCCTTTCTCTCCATAAGTTAATCTAAACTAGGTCTCCTGCTTTCAAGGCTCCCCACTTGTGTCCATCTGGACAGGCAAGACAAAGACAGAATGAGTTTAAACTTCTAACTACAAATTAAAACCATTTTTTTTGACTCAGCACATACTGTTCTCTTAGAAGATTTATGCTGCTGTGTGATGTGTAAAGCCACATTGTTATCATAAAGAATTCTGTACCTATTTGAAGGTTTATTGTCTCTACGTATTCTACAATATGTCAACACTGCTTCTACAAGTTCTATTACGTACTTCCTCCACTAACCAGTTCAACTCAGCTCCTTCTGTAAATTGTCATCAAAGAAAAATAACAAACTATCAAGAATTATACCCTTGCTTAACATATATTGTACTTTTGTTTCCTTTTTGAAAAAATCTGGTTTTATCTTTCTCTTACTACGGAGTAACAGTTCCTGTTACTCCTGTGTCATGGCCACAGCATTCTCATATACAACTCCATTCGGTCTTAAATTGCTAAACTCAAACGAATTTATTTACTTCCGTGTGTACAGGATTAGGTCCTTAGCAGTTTCTCTCTTACACTTATCTATCCCTTTGATGTTTACTGGGTCATACGAATGAACAACACCTCGTTCTTTCATGCATACAATTCTGTAATTATCTCCTACTGGAGATTTATTTTAGCCAATGGAATTAGTACTTCTGGGCATGCACTTTTTATTTTCCTTACATGCATCTCATCGTAATTATCATGTTCCAGTTGGCATTTGGCTAGTAAGAGCACTCATGCAATACATGCTGTAGTAGCCATAACACACAACTGCAGTATGCACCAGAACATGACTTGAAAGAATTAACCTACGCAAATGAAAATACAAAAATACATAACCCGTGTAAAACGTCACTGTACGCACTCTATGGCTTATAGACCTCGACATTTGTCAAAAAATTATAACTGTTTTGAAGGATGAATTGAGGAGAAAGGCCCAATACAGCACTCTGGACTATCCCAGACATTCTAGGGCTGCATCTCCTTGGTCCTGAGTATCTTCAACTCCCCAGGACATCAAGGGAAACTGAAAAGGCTGCTACCCTTCTTGTTTCAGTAGGATAAATAGAAACCCAAAATATCTATTTCCTCAGGTGAGGAAATTCGTCAGATTCTATGAATGCCTATACATGTGAGCCTCCTTTGCATGGAGATCTTCATTCAGGTAGCAGCAGGGCAGAAAAGGATGGTGCACACCTGGGCATCATCTTGATAAAGAGTTTGGAAGCAGCTGGAAGGAGATTCTTTTAACTAAAGCGGAAAATTGCTATATGAGTAGGAAAGCCTAGTTTGGTTTCGGTTTAAAATAGGAGGCAGCACAGCAATATGGCAACCACCACATCCTTCACTGCAGTAAAGCCTGATCTAAAATCTGTTGAATCACGTTTCTTACTACATTATTCTCACAACATTGCAGCATCTACATCATGTTACTACACCTTTTCGTTCAACAGACCTCTTTCCTGCATATTGCCCAAATCGTTTGTGCTAACTTCACAGGAAATAAATCTGTGCATTCCTGTGAATGATTATATAAAGAAACAGACTTTAAAACTGGAATTTCACTAGTCATCTAATTCTTGTAGGTTCCCTCCTCTCACTTTGAAGAGACAATATGACAAGAATCATACCAAAACAAGTTTAATTCTATTTTAACATCAAGTCTATCTCTTCTTTTTTACAACAGTTTAACTTCTGCTGTGATCCAAAAATTAATTCTGTCATGATGAAGACATTAAAAAAAACAGATCATCTCTCTCTTACTAACTCTCTCTCCCACTCCTCAAAAATGACTGCAAATAAGTTTACTGTCACCTACATAACACAGGGACTATTTTCTGCAAAATCCTATTCTAGTTCAGCACTAGAAGTTCTTATTTATTTGTTTTGTAAGTGAAGCATAAAAATAGAAAAGCTCTCTTCTGGTTTCTTTTATTTGGGGGTGGGGGGAAACAAAGAGGTGAAGGATTCATTTGACTAATTATTACTGCACATTATACACAAGAAGGCAAGACAGACCTGGATCAAATGACTCATGCATAGGACTTAAATTACATATATTAATTAAAACGAAGTCTATAATTTCTTAAGATTTATTTGTCCTTTCTCTTAAAAATATTGTTTCCTTCATTTTATAGAAATAGAAAGCGCAATCATTCCTCCTGGTAGGGTTGCCTATTTCAGAATGAGTGCAACGAACATGCACAATCTTTTATGCAAGTAAAGATACATCACATTTTTACTGATTAGCAGAAGCAATTTCCTTGATGAAAAAGATAAATAGAACAAATTTTCTTATAGCATATTATTTCACCTCACTGGTGAAGACTGCGTAAATTAAAAATAATTAGAGTACATACACTGTTAGTAGAAGTATGATATCCATAAAGTTGAAGACGCTGACACACAGTAAAAACGGGCCAAGCCAAGTATCACATGTCAGAATGAAGCCAAAAGAAGGGGGGGGAAAAAAGACAACAGAATAGGTTAGGATAAGCAAATCTTTATTTTCCATAATATTAGAAATTTTTTTATTTCTTTGCTTTTAAAATGACAGTGAAGAAAATAGGCTTAACTTCAACCTCATTCTTTAAATTTTTCAAGAGAGAAGTATAGAGTTGTAGTGACTACTCTCAGGAAAAATGTTTCATTTTGCAATCTTTACTTTTCCCAAAAGCTCTTCCTTTGGGTATAAGTTTCCTTTGTTCAGAATAAACAGCATGTAAGAGATTCAACAATTGACCTACAGCTTTGAAAAGCTGAGGAGGTTAGGTCTCTCTGAGTGGGAAGAAAAGATCCCTTTTTATGCTGAGGGAAGGTTTAAGAAGTATTAGTTCTTGAAATTCAAACTTTCTGTGGTTTCAGGGACAAATATCTGAGATCAAGCACCTATGGTCCCAAAAGGATAATGGGCACTATAAGAAGCTTTGCATATATGTCAAAACCTTTCTGATAATAAGGAATTTTTGCCATAAATATGCAAATCGCAAATGAACATGTTTTTTTCTTTTGTGGGCTTGGCAGAAACTTGTCCCAGATTTTCACTCGTCCAACAGTAGAATAAGTTCCTGCTACTGCTGCCATCCTCCAGACAAACCACCACAGACTTGTCTATTTCTGACGTACCTTTCTCATGCACATAAGAAATGCAAAATTGACATTATATAAGAATTATATATATATTCCAAGAAAATCTGTTCAGATAGTATAAACAACTAAAACCATTTTGCATTGGTCATAAGCAATATTTAATACAAAAATTAAATCTGAATATAAAAATCTAAGTTCACCTGTAACATTTCATCAGCTATTTTAAAATGACTATTAGTAACAAGCTTCAGAATCAGTATGTCAACATGAACAGCTTCAGTTAGTTATGAGAGCAGGAGAATAGTTTGGTCTTGCCACTGAGATCTCTCACTCTTACAGACAATAAGACTGTGTAATGACACAGTCACTTTTTCCTAGTTTATAGCTCCAAATGGAATCAATGCTACTGTCATAACATGTAATGCAGTATTTAAACACTAATTTTTCTTTTCTATAGATCACTTAAATTTCTTTTTTCAATAACTGCAGTTTAGGCTAAATATGCTTTATTCTATATATAAAGTTATGCATATCCTTTTTATGATATGAATTTATTTTAAAAAAAATGGAAAGTGATTAGTGAAATACATACACACACAATTTTGTCCTACATTGAAGAAAACAATCCAACTTACCAGCTGCAACTTCTAATTTTACTTACCAGCATTGCACGTTTTTCTTCATCTCCTTTTCTTTCTCTCTTCTCGTTTTTTTTCCTGAAAATCTCTTGTAGCTAAAAAACAAACCATTTTGTTCTTACTTAGTTTTCAGGCTATTTCACATGCATGACAATCATTCATCATGAGAAACACTGCAGACAGTATTAAAATATAGTGCTTTACTAAAATATCAGTGTTTCAATGACACTTTATTGTTCATATTCATGCCTTCATGTTCCTTCTGTGACTTTAACCATCACACAGAGAGAAAAAAAGGAAGTATTCTTCCACAAAGTAAGGCTAATAATTCTATTTGGGATCACAATACTAAGAACATCCTATTTAGCTTTACATTTTAGCCAATCCAACCTACACAAAAAGGGGGAGTTCCAGCCTTTTTCACCACCTCTAGGCACATCCTTTTTGGTCGGGTAATAATTAGTATCTGTGTGGCTATGTAGTCAGCTGAATAATCTTTTTTTCATATTGCTAGTTTCCAACCAGATCAGTTCTTACTCCCGCTGGCACAAGGGAGGGGTGGAAACACCTGGTGGGGGTGAAACTTTCCCCTTCAGCAGCAACAAACTACTACTCAAGAGTAATTTATCAAGTACCCTTTTTTTTTCAAGTCTGTTCAAAGAATACCTTCAGGTCTTGTAAAATACCCTTTTCACAACTTTCTCTACATTAAGAGCTTTAAACATGACTTCTGAGAAAACCTCAAATACAAGATTTAAAACATATAGATTCTTCAGCATATTTATTTTTCAAAATTACAAAGTCTTCAGAGTAAGGATTGGTCTGTACTTATCTTTCTTTGTAAGTATCTGTTTTATTTAAATATTTTTATTCATAGTAATATTTATTAATATTCCCAAATCATTAGAAAAGCGTGTCACGGTGTTTACTCTTCACAGAAAGAAAGAACAGTATTAACTATGATGCCATCTATATCTCTACCAGTAAACTTCAGCTTTTCAAAAACTGCATGTGAAAATATTATACTGCCACTTGCAGCATTTGCTAATCTCAAAGTGGGCTGAAAAAGAAAAAACGCTGTGGCTGACAAATTTGTCTTATCTAGAATATGGTATTTTCAGAACCAAACATCATGGCATACAGACACAACTGTGGCAGTTGTTTCAAAGACCTGATTCTACCTACAAGAAGTATGATAAAAACCTGATACTCCAACGACACGCACACAGAGCTCCTCAGGGATCAGAATGTGAAAGACAAAGTGTGTGTGATAAATTTTGCAAACACATTTTCCAAATTTAATTTCAGAATACCACGTTTCAGAGAAGGCAGATGGCTAAGACAAAGGGATCAGCAAGCTCTACTGCAGGGCCATGACAACACTGAAATAAATGAATACAGTGTTTAGTGATTAAATAGCAAACACATTTATAAATAACGTGTTATGAATTTCCAAAATTGATACGGTGTTCTGGAATTGCCTATAAAGCAAACAAATACAGACCAGAATATTGTGCGTGTCACTGTATCTATTTTTGAGTATGGGATCAATTTACAGACCTTGGTATGTTTTTTCTCATCTTTTGCAAACCTAGAGGCACAAATTACTGTAACCTACGCTGACAAGTGAAGAGTCACGATAGGAGATTTAGCTGGATGGCCTAGAGTATTACACAGTTTGCAGCCCAAAACTGTGGAAAGAAGAAAGGTAAATGAAGAGAGAGAAGTAGAAAGAAAATAACTTGTGAAGTGACAAGTCATCAAGTAGGAGAGAAAAGTGGCAGTAATTGAAAAACCAAAAAAGATCAGTAAAAAAGCAATGCACCCTTGTATGTATTTCCCCTGCCACAGAGGCAAAGGGAACAGGATTCTGTTGCATTCATCATTAAACCACTTACTAAACTTCTGGAAATGGATCTTTTGTTCAGAAGGAGTGCTATAGGATACCAGCAAGTAGAAAAGTGAATGCAAAAAGGATCTAGTACTTTCATAGGAACATTGTTTGAAACAGCATAATGAGATTTGACTGCTGAAAGCAGCAAAAACAAGATCTCCTGTAACAAGGCAACACAATCCTTCTGTTCCCTGACCTCAGCCCTATGACATAAGCCAAGAGGAAAGCACAAACACCATGGAATTAGTTTACAAAACCACTAAAGCTATTATCAGAATAATTAAGTATTTTTCAGCTCTTCACCACACTCTTCAAAGAATCACATAACATGTGATCCCTACACCAATCTCTTCAAAGTCTCTTTATTTGCAAAATTGAATAATATTAACTATACTTCCAGTTTTATGATAGCTGACTGTAATCAATGGAGAAGTACCGTGCAAATGGTGGATATAGTTCAAATGGAAACACTTACAATCTCCTGCATCCAGGCACACAGGAGGTGATGCATACCCAAGCAAGGTGAGTACAGATGTCAAATGTATGTTCTGGGGCAAGGTCTATGACAACTGCAGCATCACTGATTCAACTTTTATTTTCATATTTACTTTTATTTACACAGACATTATCTATCTACCTATCTATCTATTTTAGTCTTTCTCACTTCAGATCTAACATTCTGACTTACAGTTTTGATCTAATTTTTGAAGGGTCACTGACATGGTAACCAAGCAGAGTTAGGGTCAAATTTGTTAACTACAATAATAGGTGGAGAACAGTATATCTAACGCTTGAAAATTCTCCCTTTATTTCTTCTGTCCACCATGTCTGGTTACAGAAAAAGAGTAAGAAGGAGAAATTTTTATCAGGGACCATGACAGAGAACAAATAAAAAGCAGGATATGAAAAGAACTATAAAAGTAAGTTACAAAGAAAGATGCAATATCCATGGTTCAATGTCGTCCTTGCTTCCTGGCTTATATACTGATTTCATTTTCAGCATCACTTTCTGAAAGACAAAGCCTCCTGCTTCAATTTCCTCCCACATAGCTGTTGTAATAGAAACCTTTTTTTTTAAAAAAGAAAGTTGTCAATCTATTCCACCACACTGTTTTATTTTTCTTCTTCTTCCTCTATTTTGCCTTTGGCAAATTAATCCAATGTTTGCTGTCTTTTTCCCCAGACTGGAGGAGATGGTTATTAGGAATTAGCAAATATAAGGATGGGTACATTTAATATTAGAATACAAAAAATTATTAGCAAGCCACAATTTACATGTGGTGACAGCTTCCAAAATAAATAAGACCTGTTCTGCTTAAGCTATGCCACCAGAAAACAAGCCCCTAGATGTCAGATCTCACTTCCTTGAAAAGGAGAATTGAGGGAAGTTCAGTGTATTGAGGACAGTTTCTTTCACATTTCTGTTTTCTTTAGTTTAGCACAGTTTATCTGAATCAAGCCTTGTAACTTGACTTGAAAACAATTAAGAAACAGCACACAGGAAATTAGGGTGTCTTAGTTTTAAATAAATCATGGTCTGACACTTAAATCTATTCAATGTGTCTGTTTCATTCTTTTTATTTTGTTCCATCTTCTTCAGTAAGGCAGTGGGATTTTTCTCATACATATTTACTGTATTTTTTATAAACTCAACTACACAAAAAACATATGAAGTTAAGAATTGATGTCTTCTACAAATACCTTTTTTTGCAAACATGATTCAATTCTTACAAATATTTTTATTCTATTAATTGCCTGTTCTTGTTCAGTAGAAAATAAAGGCCTTGTGCAGTCTTCAGAAAGCTTGTCTAAACCACTAAACACAAAATTGTAAACATTAGTTTCTAAAGAAATGTCAAAAACTATGTTTGCCATAACCAAGTGTTTCAGTGTAATCCCAGACATCTGCTGCGTATGGACATTACCGATTTAGAGAACTCTGATTTATACTGTATTGTGCAGCTTGTTAATGTAAAGCCATGTAGTCATTGTAAAATCAGAAGCCCTAAGAGTGGGAAATCTTCTGTATTTCATGATTTTTTAAAAAAAAAATCAATTTTTTACTTCATCACTGACATTCACTTAGAATAGCACTAATTATTCCTCCAATTTCTTATAAAATCAGAAAATAAATGAAATGCACATCAATCTGAAATAGCCCTCTTGTTCCAAGGCTTCTTAATTTTACACTTGTCAATGCAAACATCATTCTCCTATACTTACTGGATCCTACCAACTGAAAAGTTACAAAATATTCAAATTTTAAGATGCTATTATCAATTTATCATGATCAAAAGCAAAATACAGTGCATGATTTAAGATTTTTTGAAGATTTTTTCTCAAGTGCCAAACTATTCTTAAAGCACAAATCTCAATTTCATATGAAATAAGCTAATTATTCTTTCAAAGTCTGGACCTTTTAGAACTGTTTAAATTTCTAACCAGGAGAAAAATAAAGTCTCTGCTTAAATAACTAGTAAGAACTGCTTCTTCCAAGCAATAAACTGAGTACAGCTTTAGTTTGAAAAACACTGTAATGCAGATTTTGAATGTAACAAAACCTTGGATGCAAGCAGAATGAATGACAAGGTGAAGTGGTATCCCAGGAAAAGATTCTTTTGCAAGTCCCTCCATCATTATGGCAATTAAATAATTCTGCTGCCCATTGATATAGCAATATTACTTTAATAGCCTAATTATCTGTGAATGTAGTAGCAATTAAAAAGAGTCAGAATAAAAACTGGAATTAAGCTTATAAAATCATTATATACAACACACCCTTACACTGTAATATGGAGCTACTATTTACACTACATTTACTTTTTACATTAAATAAGGCAAACAAAAAATTACATTCAGTGAAGAACAGCTTGTGTTCTCGTGATTATTGACATCCTTATGAGTCTCAATCCAGACAAAAAAATGAATTTCAAGATTAAATCAAAATATTCAAAGACTGAAAATATACATACCACTAAGAACTCCTTTTTGTCCACCATCTCATTGCCATCAGTATCAAACATGTTGAAAGCGATTCTAAAACCTGCATGTGGCTCTGCCAAAAAAACCCCATTCAATTATTTATTTGCTTGGAAAAAAAGCAAACATAAAACTCTGTTATTTGATGTCTGTTTGTAAAAGCCGTAGCCTCGACTAATTTAAATTAGTACACTTGTGCACATAGTAAATGTAAATCATAACATCTGTAAAACAGTTATTATCCATGTTATGAAAACAGAAGGCATGCTCACAAATTCATAGATTAGGGGAAACAGACAGTAGAAATACAGCATGAAATATCCAAGAAAAATATATCACAGTAATGGCTGGTTGGGTAGTTAAGGTTGTTAGTAGTTCATACCTAGAGTCCATTCTATGTTACAAAACACAAATTTCTAGAAAATAAATTGTTCTAAAGGTGTTCTAAAAGACATTTTAAAGTTTTGCAAAAAAAGTACAGGATGCAACTTCTGGTCAAAACAAGTTATGTGTTGAAAGAGATGCATAATTTTCTTGTTTACATGCTCAGATTAATTTAAATTTGAAATCAGGTTAGAATTTTAAATTATTTCTGAAACATGGGGACTTTGGAGGTAATTGTAAATGAAGTCTTTAGGCAACATTGTGGTGATACTCAGTGATTTGCAATATGGATGAATTATGGTCAAATATCAGTCCAGAAAACAAAGAAATGATGGAAGAATATCCATTGATCCACCAGTTATGGATTGTAAGAGTTCAGGCTCAAGTTCCTGCCCTGATTCATAATAAGAAACTAGATTATCTCTGGAAAAAAGCCTAATGAATCCAATAGAAATGTTTTAATTACATACAAAAGACAAGTAAAACACTTCTCTCCTTCCCAAATAACACCTCTTAAAATATCAGAAGAAAGTCTGTATCAGGATTAGTTTACTCTAAGTTATTCTACTTTGTTTTTATGGGCGGTAGAAGAGTCAGTATTCAATTTTGTTCGTGTTTTCTAACATAAATAAATATTTACTTTAATTTGACAGATTTTGTATTTTATATTTTGTCACTATCCATTGGTGTCACCCCTTATGCACTAACAGGTGAAACAAACCAGTAATAATATATATTCTTCTCTTCTCCCTATATTCAGTGTCCTTTATGAACTTCAGTAAAGTCAGCTAGAAATTTTGTATAAATTCCAGACAAGAAAACAAATTTAACCTCTTAACTGAGGTTTAGCTGAAGTGTATGGCTTAACTTTCTCCACAGGCAGTAAAAGGTTGTTCTATATAATAAAGCACTTAAATAAAACATAACAACAAGAGGTTTTCTCCCATATTGGGATATGCGGGGGGGGGAAGTATTTTAACTTACAGCAATACATTCAGAGTTTAGACATTTGTAAGGAAGTTTTGGCGTTTTTTTCCTCCAAACATACTTACTTGTTAAAATACATAAGAGGAATAAATATTCTGTGTAAGATATCACACCTGAAGATAAAAAAAAAAGTTATGCCATATTAGTTTCACCTTGTCTGCACATCCTAAACTTGAAAATATTAAATCTATGTATCAGAAGGAGAATTTTTGTACATGTGCATATGCATATTCATACTTGTGTGCATGTCACTGTATTCAACATCGTCAATGAGCTATTTGTCTAAAATATTGATCTATGGGGTGGGGTTTTTTTTGTCTGGGTTTGTTTTTGAGTATTTTAGGGGACGAATACATTAAATACGGCAAATAAACAACTACAGTCAGTGGACAACGGCTTATTAAACAGAAGGTGGCTAGATTTTTAGAAGCTAATATGAACAATTTATTTGATTTTCTTTCTGAAAACTCCACCAATAATTCATGACAAAACTCTCTAACATATAAGAACATTTACTCTGAGAACATTAATAGTGCTCCCTCCTGATAAGTACCATTTGAATACTGTTCTTGACTTTAATATGTACTTTGTAAGTATATGTCCTACATTAATTGAAAACTTAGCCTTATGTTACTGATGAAAGCACAGATTTAGGCTTTTGAGTTGTCTTTATACACACATTTTCATAATCATCACCTGAAATTTATATTAAAACTCTTACTAAATGAGTGTGTAATTTTTTAAAACATTTTTAAAGCCTGTTAGAAATATTTGTACTATCTCTTCTTCCACATTCAGAAGATCTGTAAGGAATACATTCTAAGCTTTTAATCTTTGATTAGATGTCAAAAGACAATCACAGTATGGAATGGCACTTCCTTTTCTTTTCAGAAGTGGCTACGCGAAAATTTAAATTAGAGCTGAAGCCAATGTCCAAATAGCATGTCTGGTACCACAAGCTGTACTTCTGCTTTTCTAGCTCGCATATAGAGAAAAAAACTTGCAGAATGCTCATGGTATCAACGAAAAGAAGCACTTCACAGTTCAGTAAGAACTGAAAACAATGACTTGCAGCTCTCCCAAAACCCTTTGGCTCTAATAATCTTCGAGGCTGAACTAGAAAAACTGTTTCCTGATTTCTAACCAACTGATTTTGTCTGTCCTCCAAAACCAAAGTGTTAAGTCAGTCCACAATATTAGACTATTTCAAAAGAACTAAAAAAAAAAAAAAGATGCCTGAGAGTAAAGATGTCTATCAGCTGGGATTTTCAAAAGTTGCTGGTTGTCTCCTTGATTTCAATCCAAGTCAGGTGCAAAAGTTTTTAGAAAAACAGCCACATCTTTGGATATTCAAGTATCTTTTAAAATATCACTTAACTGAGTATGCAACAAACTATGTAAACAGTCATCTGACTTTTTTCACCGAAAAACCTGTACAATTAAAACTCAAAACACTGTATCATTCATGTGGATTTTACAACTACTGAACACATTTAACATCAGCACTTCCAACACTGCCAAAGTAAGAAATTTGGGCATTTTCTTCTAATATTTGCAATACAAAAAATTCTAAATTAATTCTGTCCTGAACTAATACTCAGGAGGGACTTTCTGTCCTCTTGAACAGGTGAGATACAAAAATCTCAGCTATATTTCTCTTGGATCTGTCCAAATGCCTCCTCAAACCTTCAATCATACAATACTCCTCCTTAAAAGCCAATTGTCCTGAAAGTGGAGACCTTCAAGAGAATCAGGCCTCCTATCCTCAAACATAAAAGGAAAAATAACCAGTCACAGAGATCTCCACAGATATCAGAGAGACTGGACTATAAAGGCAATACAAAAGACAGTTAACTAAATTGTCTTTGGAACCAAAACACATACTAGAAGGAATCTCTAAACCCCTCAATGTTTACCAGCTGAAACACTGCCCTCACAAATTTCATTCCATTCATAGAAAAAAAGGAATTTCCCACCTTTTGATTCAAGAGCAAATTGAAGTCTTCAGAACCAAGATTTTACTACTGCTAGTAGATCTAGTTAGGAAGGCTATTAAGTATTTTTAATACCATCTACTCTTTTCCTCAATTTACACATAGCTCCACACTGAAGATTAGCAAAGATTAAATGCAGGCATTTAAGTAATGCATGCTCTATGCTTTATCTTCTTGATTTTATACAGCAGCTTGCAGAAATTAGTTTTCAAAAGCTTGCTTGAATCTGTTCGGACAAGCAGCTATCAAGAAATTAGATACCTCAAAGGTTCTCATTCAGTGACGTAAAACGTTCTTTAATAGCCAGTCAATAAATGTAAATATGTATTTTTGTTTGTTTGATGACACCTTCTTTATTGTAAAACAGAGGAAGAAAGTGCAATTGTCAAGTAGTCGATCACAGGTATGAAGAGAGCAATATAAAAGGCCATGAAAGCACTCTCTCCTTTTGTTTGTACTGGTATATTGTAGCCGTAGACAGATGGTTCTACTTGATTGCTCTGAGTGTCACGGGAGAGAGACTCTGAAATGATGACTGAATGGAAAGAAAAGCTCACACTAAGACCAGAGAGAAGAGAGGGAGGTCACTCAAGGGTAAAACATAAAAACAAAACTTAAGGACAACTGGCATAAATCTATGTGGCTCATCTGATTTAAATGAATCTATGGCAAAATAAATGGACATAGGCTTTTGCGACCTGCTTCATATTAAAATGTGCATGTTTTAAAGAAAATTATTAAATTAATCTTGGAGTTTTCATGTCATGTACTAAATAAACATTCAATTAGAATTAAGGAGACCTGAATTCTATTCCCGTTCCTTTCACTGTCTTACTGAATGACCCTACCAGTCATAAGACCCATCACCTTTTCCTGTATTATTGACAGAATGGGATAACAGAACTCACTTTTTCATAAAGCATGATGAAAAGCTACGTAAGTGCTATGGTTTATTACTAACTTTACCAGCTCATTATGCCAGGTTTGAAACCTCTTAGCTCCATCAACTTCTGCAGAATTTCACTAGCAGAAAATTGGAGTAAGATACTGTTGAATCAAGCCTGCACACGTTGCAGACACTCTATTACAGACTTAATAAGCAACATCCAGGTATGTGTTTTTAAACTGACAATGTATTCATTTAACAGATTCTGAAGCTGAATTTTTATGTAATTAATATTTCGAAAGTCAGCTGTTCTGACTATACAGAGAGCAGCCTAGAGCAAGGAAATACAAGGAAATACAGCGCAAAGACATGCCAGTTTCTGCCTCTCTGGACTTCTGCTGCAGACTCAGGGAAAAAAGTGAGTGTCTCCATGCACCAGAGATTTGAGCCCAGGACTCTCCTCTGAAAGTAGGTGCATACTTACTCCTTTAATAAATTTGAGCTGCATTTGAATTAGATTAATCATTTAAATGCATACATTTGATTGGAATTTTGTTGCTGGTATGCTTATTTTAAACATTCATAAAGTGTCTTTATTTTATAGCACGTACTTGCAGCTGCTTATAAAAATTTTTAGAACATTCCACCAGATCTTCACCATTCTTAATATAAGCAAAAGTATGCATGAATTATTTATCATAAATAGCTTTTAAATGTCTGTATGCAAGCCATCATGATTTTTTTTCCCCTGTGTTTTTTTTCTGGTTTTGAAGTGATAGAGCTTATTAAGAATGGGGAAAAAAAAAAAAAAAAGGAGACCAGGAGTGGCTCTTGGCTCTTCCTTTACCAACTGTGTAAGTTTTAAAAGCTATCAAAGCCCTCAACTGAAGAATTTAAAGGGATATATAGCATTTCTGAAACTGTCTCTACTGTCTTTAAAAATAATCACATCATTGACTATATTAAAAAAATTAAAGCGATATTGTGTCTTTATTAGAATATTCTATCTATGGCTAGCTGTAAGATGTCATGATTAAAACACTGTAGAGATTAAAGGGAACTTTTCCATGCTGTAAAATGTAGAAAGCAACAAACACTTTTTATCTTTTTGAACATGTGACTCAGAGTAAAGTATGACATCACTTTAGCCACAATGAATTAACACAAGTGATAATTTCATTCAGGAAAATAGATTTTTATTTCTCACCTTTCTCATTAAGATTTCGGAAAAGTTTGGATGATCCTTTCCAAACTGGTGGTGTCTCCATAAGGATCTGATTCAGTTCCTAAAAAGTAGTATTTTAAAAAAGTATGTATTTAAATATTTAAAGAAGTAGTTAACAGATTGTGAATAAACGCTAGGAAATCAATATAAAAGACAAAGATCTGCATGCAAATCTAACAGTTAATTTAACTTCAGTTTACCACAATGACTTTCGAAGTACTCAAGCACATATATACATTTTGCACGCATGATTATTCTATGAATTGCTCATCTGCGAGAATACTGTTTGCAGAGTTGGAGAGAGACATGTAACGTATTTGTTGCTGAAATTACCACTGCTCATATTCACTGAAGCCAAGGATAGGTCCCCCTGGATTTCAGAAAGGTTTTCATACAAGCTCCAATAAACTGTTATTTTAAAACACTCAACCTGAACTAAGGCAAACTTCACCCATGAATATGAATGTACTTCCCTTAAAATACAGGGATACAGACAAGAGTCTTTTTGCAATTGTACGAATGTCAAAAAAAAAAAAAAGTAAGAGGCACTTAAACTTCACAAAAGGTATGATGAAGGTAAGTATTTCAGGCAGCTTTGGATACACCTGTTACACTAAAGAAATACAGTCAGACACAGGCTGAGGAAGGAACTGACAAAGGCTTGGAAAAGTCAGTAAATCCAGCGTAACAGGCACAGCTGCTCAAGTATCTTTGAAATTCTGGACTCAGCTGAGTCTGAAGTGACAAAAATGAAGAAATTAAAGTATCTTTTTTTTTTAAAAATAAAGATTAAAAACCTCCCTGATTTCTCCTGTGATTCTAAGTTGACTTAATGAAAGAAAGTAACTGTATCAAAATCTATGGCTATAAGACAGCACAGAAACTATTGCCCACCTGCTTTGAAAGAGATCGCCACTTTTTAGCACCTGCAACAAAAGACAAAGTTATGAATGCACAGAAGTTAGTCATAAAAATTAAACTGCATCTATACTGTGTTTTCTAGCCAAATAAAAGGTATTGTCCCTACTTTATGAGGCTAATCTTCAACCTGGTTCCAAAAAATTCTCTTTATGTTATAAAAAAAATAATTGGCTTAATACAAGCCTAAACTCCTAACTTTAAAGAACCAATTCAGATGTATAGTTTTTAATCCAACACTGCTTCAGTGAGTGAAACGGCTTTCTACCTCCAAAATACACCATTAAAACATCGAAAAAAACCAGAGGGCATTCACATTAATCTGTAGTTATCAATATGATACCAAAATGATTATTTAGTAGCAGTAGTATTACAGTGTAGATTGTAGGGAGACATGGATTCTGACCCTTGCTTCAGGGACTACTCACACCTTTTAAAGTAAATACAGAAAAAATATCCTTGAAACTACACCAGGTGCTAAGCCTCCCTTCAGCCATTCATAGTAACTCAGATTCATGCTTCCTTTTACAGCCTGTATCAGGCTCAATTTTTTTGTACGTCGTTTTAACCAAGGAGCTGAGGAGGGCCTCCAGCTCAGAACTGGAACTGCTCGTTCACACTGAAAACTGGTAAGCAAGACTGAGCAGATACTTTCTTCCTAACGCCTTATATGACAGACTCCAGGAACAGAGAGAGATCTTTGCATTTGACAATAGTTGTCCATCCAAGAACCAATCAAGATGAATTTGACGTTCATCACCACCCTCTCAAGACAAATATCGGCACAGATTCAATGTTAAGATAAAGCACTGTGAATACCAGAATTCACAAAGATAGAAGTAGCAGCATAGTATATAGTCAAATCTGTGACTTTTTGGTTGGTAAAGGCTCATTTTTATAGAGCAAAACATTCTGTGGTATTAGAAATCCCTTCCTCATGAAGAACTCCATGTTCTGTTAACTAATTATCATGATACAGAAGCTCCTCAGTATGGTCTTTCACTAGTTCACGGTTAGAAACTCACTGAAATTTTGGGTTTACATCTTGGTTAAAAGGTAGCACCGAGATTGTCAGCAAATCCCACTCTTAACTATGGTGGAGTTATATCAAGCAACTTCATACCATAAGCTAACAGATTTGCATATAGTTTTCAGTTTAATTTTTTAATGTCAATTAAAGCATTGTAAATACTAAGTACAATAATATTGTACCCCCAAACCAATCTCATTTGCCATACAAATTCATATACGTTTATGCCTACCATAAAAAAATTGGGGAATAAATATCTCTAACTTTCCAATCAGATAATTTCCCAGTCTCATACAGTATATCTAGATTTTCTTTCTAGACAAGCAAGTGAAGATTTTGTGTATATACATACTTCTTACAGCTCGGTATTGGGCTAAAATTACTATAGTAAAAGGGAACAAAACATATTTCGTCTTCTCTTAATTGGCTAAGTATATAAACATATATTCAGATGATAAAAATGTATCAAGCACGGCTGTTAAAAATATTTTCTTTTCCCAAATGAAAGCCTGCACCATAAAGGCAGCAGTAGCAAACTAATTATAGCATTTATTTTATATTTTTTATAATAACTGCCCGGAGTCAAAGTTACATTTTATAAAAGAAAATACACTCTTACCATATTAGTTAGTGTTTAATCAAAAAGGAAGTGAACACCCTCTTGACTTTTGTAGGGTTTACAAGACTTGCAAAGTAAATCAATCACAATAGACGCATTCACTCCATCACAAATCTCATTGAGGTCTAGTATTATTAGCTTTTCTACAAAGCAGACAAAGAGCTACTATTATTACTTTTCAAAGGGCATTTTTGCTTTTTGACAAAACTCAAGACCTTTCTAGTCTTCATCCATAAAAAAATAGGTTTGGTTTTGGTTTTTTCTGCAAAATACAGATGCTCTAGTATGTCAGCCTGAAAGGACTCAACTATTTACGACTTATAACTTATCTACAAAATGATCCAAAAATACAAAATAAGGTGTTTAGAATGTATTACATTATTCCAAAAAATACTTTACTTAAACTTACTACCTTCAATAGAGCAAGACAGAAAAATTAAGACGCGCTCAAACAAAGCGGTATTTGACAAAGCTGCAGTACAAGATTTACATACTCAGAGATCAGAAGCTGCAAGTGGTAATCTGCAGGTCATCTACCTCATTCTTGTCAGCCTTCTGTCCAAGTGTCCTAGATATTATGACTTCCACTATAATGAAGTCATCCAATTCTACTTAGTTACAGCCTCTTACAGTATCCCTTAAAATAATTATCTCAGTCATGTAATCTCTGATACTACTCCATAAAACCAAAGGACATCCAAGTTAGTTTTGCTTTCAGTCTTAGAGATGAACTGGATGCACAGGAAGGATTTTGATACAAACAAGGTTTGCTACACTGAACGCAGAAGGGTGCCCGACTGTTCAACTCCAGATCTCTTCTCCTTTGAGATGAACAGAACATCCTTGTGAGCTTAATGCTTTTTTGGTTTGGTTTTTAAAATCTGAATACTTGCTGTGAGAGAGGAGGAAGCATAAATTTCATTAGCATGGAAAAATCATAATAGCAAACCATACATACAGTGTAGTCAAACCGTCATAAAATGGAATTAAAACAAAATGTTTAACTGATGTCCAGTATATGGCACATACACTTCATGACCATACATGATGAAACCCAATTCCACAGTAACAAAAAAAAGGATGACTTGGAGATCTGGGCAGAGGAAGTAGACATAAAGTGCTGATGTGTGTTTGTATTAAGTTCTGTGATAAGGGATCTGCTTCCTCTCTTTTAACTGCAGAGCAAAAAAAAAAAAAAAAGAGAATGAATATTTACTTTCTGGTAAGAGTTTCAAAGTTTTGCAAGTTTTCACCATCTAAGCTCTATCTTCTGTCTTCACTGTTACAATGAGATTATATCTTTATTCAAAAGATACAGAAGTTTTGATCACTGATGTGCTATGGGTGAATTCTTTCCTCTTGTTTCACTACTGTTAAGAGAACAAAGGAGGAAAATCTAACATCTGCACTGAGCTTTAAGCTCTCCTCTGCCTGTTGTAGCTTCTTTTGACTGTTCTTCACACTAGCTTTGTGGTGTAGACTCTAGGAAGAAAGAGCTAAGGTGAGTTATTATACGTGTCACACCTGAGCAAAGATACTCACTTTCTCTAGAAGTTGTGTGCTGCTACCAATGCACTGCAAGCCTGAGGGCCAGGAAACCAAACTAGATGAGAAATAGATCATCTTACTATTTAATAACTCTTTGATACTTAAGAGTAAAAATTTTACAGTAAGTGAACTAAAGTTGATAGTTTATTTTTCATTAATTTAATTAACACAAACTGCTAACTCTGGCAACTTTTAAGTGTAGAAAGTGCATCCCCTGGGGGACTGAAACTCCTGCTCAAAGCATGTTATTTAGAAAACTGTGATATGGTCATAAAATCTCTGTAGGGCATAAAAAACCCAACATGATAGCAAATGACAATTTAAGATGGCAAAAACTGCAAAACAATGTTATCCTTAATTATTTAGAGAACTCATATCTTGCCTGCCTATTTACACAGAAAGTATACAGAGGAGGAAGGGGAGTTTTACAGCAATATTGGCCTGCTCAGAAAGAAACCATAACTGTATCTGTGTCAATGCAAACAGTACAAATGAACTTCGTGTCTTTCATGCCTGTTGAGCTGTCTGTGACCTCGAAGACAAGAATAACTAGTACACAGATGTTTACAATGTAATAACAATCAGGATACTGATTGTACGCACTTACATACCATTAAAAATAAAATTCTGGAAAATGTAGTACCTTTTCACCACAATCAGAAACAGAAGTAGTAATCAAAAGCAAATCGAAAAATAACATGCATCACTGCCATTTTCCCTAGCAATTTTATCAATATAAAACTCATGCTTACATTTGGGTTCATCACTCGTGACAGCCTGAATGAAGTCATATGGAGTCATATATAGCTGTCCTTCAAATTCTAAACTTGCAAATCTACGAAACCGTTGCTCCCGAGGAGTTGCATAAAGGTGTAAATCTTCAAGGTCTGATCTGTTTTCTGTAACCTTCAAAGATAGAAGGAAACAATTTTAATGTATGAAAAAGTTTGGGTTTACAATTGCCACTGCCATTCACCATAAAGAAACTAAATGTAAAGGTGATAATTCGTCCAATGCACCCAAATATTTTTGTATGGTTAAGAGCTGAAACTACAATCAGGATTTCACTGCTATAATTTTCAGTCTTCTACAATTTTAGCAGTAAATCTTTATGCATTGAAAGTGTTTATATTACCCAAGCTCAGGAAAAAAAAAAAAGAAAAAAGAAAAAAGAAGAGAACTTAGGCTCTTGAATTCAGCAGTCAGACTTTAAACAACTTGATCAAATTATTTGTCTGACATTTCCAGAAGAGAATGGAGTAACATTTTTTTTATATTACTTAGTGCAGAGCACAGCTGTTGACAATAGGCAAGACACCTCCATCATGTACTCCAGTGTACATCTTTTAAGGATACTGCTATTTCAAGTACCCAGTGCAATTAAAGCTACCATACTTGGGGGAACAGAAGAACAGAAAAGCTTAACTATTCCTCCAGAATTACCAAAGTACTACATGGCATTAAGTTTACACCTCATGAGAGTTTATAGACGTCACGAGTTTCCGGTATATTTACCATCCAGCTGATTCACATGTAAACTTAGTGGTACAAAACTGTAACTGTTCTAAATTATTACATCTTTGTGTTACACTGTCAAAGCTTTTAACAGAAAATATGCCTCCACTATCTAAAAACTTTTTTTAGCCCATAATGTAGCAAGCTGCTCTGGTGACAAACTAAGGAAATGCAACAAGTAGCATGTGGTTTAACTAATGTTTGTTGTCTTTTAACAACTAAGAAAACAGCCAAATAAATTTTGTTTTTCAGAGGCGCATCTATACACAAAGAAAAGCTGGGAGATGTCTGCAGTTGCTGTGTGCTAAGAGGTAACAGTCCTCAAGCACAAATGGAAATTGCTTTTCCAAAACTTAAGAACAGGTTTGCTATTTCAGCAATTAGAAGCAAAGGCACATTTATATTGGGCAGTCAAAAATCCCAGCTCACTTTCCTTCTGCTTTCCAAACAATGTCCTTAAAAAATAAAACATTAGTAAGTCACTACTGCAGTGAAACAAAATTTTATACGCTTAGTTGTAACTAGGAGATTAAATTATGTTTATAGAATAGACATATCAAAAACGGATGCGTCTAGAAGATGTCAAACACTTCCTATTTGGAAAAAAAACAAAACAAAAAATCACGTGTCCAGTCACAACATAACAGAAAACTCACAATTTCTTGATTTTATATATGGGAGTTTTAGTACTTCACTACTTCATGTAGGACATTTTAACCAACCTTCTAGAAGGAAAAAAGACTATTGACTGTGTAGTTATCTTTCTGGACTGTCTCTAGTCTTTTTGGAATTATTGCTTTGTGTGTGTGTGTGCGCGCGCACGCACAAATGTTTCATTTCAATGGGAAACACTGTCATGAGAAGTCACAGAAATGCTCGTACAATCATTTAATTTTCAGTAGACTGCGCTACATACAAATATTCTGCACTTCCACCCAAGAAGCAACTCTAAACTTGGTCTTTGTGGTTTTTATCAGCCAAATGACTACCAAATTAAAGATGGGGAGAAAAAAATATATCTAACAGCCAGGCCTGCAAACTCATCTTAGAACAACAGAAAAAAGCTGAATTCTCTTCTGACATACTCACATGAAAGTCAAAATATTTCTGTCCTGTCTCACTGTTTGAATATTATGGTCTTACTGATCCTTCATCAGTCCAGTGGCATTCAAGCTATGCCTTTATGTGGGATTTACATGACTCAATTGTTTTGGAAGAACTTGTAGTGACATAACTGATTATCCCTGGTTTTGAAGCTTAATAATCTATCTTATTTTTGATACATATTTTATCACTATTACAAACATGCTTTTGAAAACACGCAAGTTGTAAGCATGAGCAATAAAGCTGTATTTCTGCAAAGATGACAATTTTCAGAAAAGAAACTGCTTCAAGGCCATATTACACATGCAGTATGTATAATCGGTTGTAATGTCATAATCAATCATACATAATCAGAAGAATCTGTAGATAAAGTATCACTCAAGAAATATCATCTTAGTTTTGATCACTTAGTATTTAGAGAGCAGGTTGAGATTCTTTGCTCTCAAGAAATTCATGCTGTCTCAGATACTGTTGCTTAATATTTCACTTGAGACACTTAGAAAAGCATTTGCTAAATTCTCAGACACATTTCAACATTATCTTAAGCACTCTATGCTACTATAAGTATAAAATAACATACTGCAAACATGGAATTTTCAAGACGAGCTTAAACTTAACTCAGGTCAGTTCTCAGGTCTGCAAAACCTTAATTTCTGCCTCATTTTAGCCAGTCTCCCTCTGACTACATAGCGATGACAACATTTCATGCTCTGGCTCAAAGTCATTGTAACCTCCTATGAATATAGCCTACAAAAGAGCAATACCTCCCTAAAGGCTCAATGCCCTGCATGCTCTTGCTCTGGCACTTTATGTTCATTTTTCCAGGTGTCAAACTGGATAAGGGAACTGGTCTGACTGAGAACTTTTGTTTGGGTGGTGTTATTTTGTAGCCAGATAAATGCCTGGATCTACCCCACAAGAACAGTTGTTTCAAAACCTGTGCCACAGGAACTTGCAGCTTATGGAAAAGAAAATACCACCTGTTCCAGCAGTAAGCTCCACCCACTTCAAGTTAAAGTGATGTGAAAACTGCAAGCTTAAGTATAATTTTATTCCAAGGAATAAAAATACCACTTTATTTTGAGCTTTGTGATTTTATCTGAAAGAATCAAAACAAGTTTTTTCTGCTTAATAGCAGAAAAACATGAATCTAAACAAATGTACACAGGGCTTAACATGTATTAGATCACTGGTCCATACACTAGATGTCCAAATAAAAGCAAGGTTTGGCTGCCGAAGACTCCAGGCACGCATCTTAGCAAGCTGACAAATAAAACTATCTTTGCGAATAACATTATTTTTTGTCCAAATTTCTTGTTCGGACCTTTCCTTCTTCTATGACTGCTTATCAACCTATGTAACAAACGTAGAGCAACTTTAAGACTCTCGCATAAAAGCTGTAATTATTAGGAACGAATCAATATGCTAATTAAAAGCCAAGCCATTCTAAAGTATGACCTCAATTCACACCTCTTCACGCATTCAAGAGATTCCTCTCAACACACAATGATGAAATGCCTTCTGTTTTCCCCAACATTAGCAGAATATAATCTAGTGAGGCAAGCACGAGAATCTTAGTGACATCAATTGCTCTTGATTTATTTCATATTTATGCCCAGGTTAGTAATCTTATTGTAGCAGCATTAGTATCGAATCCAATGGACACATGAACAGGACACTGAAAGCAGATGTTGAATACCACATGGAAGGTACTGTTGGTGAAGGAGTGAACAGAATTCAATAAGATTCCAATCTCTATTTGAAGTTTCAAGAGCTTATCCAGAATAAAACTCTGTAATTACCAGCAATCTTCAAAAACTTTCATAAAAGCACATCTCTGACAAACAAAAGAGGGGGGGAGATGTTTTTATGCTTCTGTTTACTAATCCTCTTGGCAATCCTGCCTACCAATTATTATGCTATGATCTTGTATCATGTTATTGTTCTCTGCCTTTTAAAAACTGGACACGACCATTTCTTTCAAGCAGAACGTCACGAATCTCCCAATAGCAGTATTATCTTAATTTTAGGCATAGCAGGTTAGCTCTGGTTTATCTGCACATGTACACCAACCTACTTTGTTATTAGAACTTTTAGGGCGAAAAAAAGCCCCACGTCTGAAACCAAGAATCTAGCTGGTAGCCAGAATTTCTATCCTTCCAACTTCACAACTCATGAAGTAAATAAAAAGAGGCAAGACTGAAGCTCATCAGCACTCGGTAAACAATGTATTATCTTTTCCCTATTCTCAAAAAACCCTAAGCATTAATATAGTATTTGTAATCAAACAGCTCACGGTTATCATCCTTTTGCCCTTCCTCCCTCAAGCCCTGGTACCATGTTGCTCCGTATTTCACCTCCAATCCCCTGTTCTTCCTCCTGTGCCATACCCTTGCAGACAGGCTGCAGAGGGAACACAGCACCTTTTTGGGGTGCTGCTATGCACGGTCTTGGCTTCCATTTGCCTTCTCCAAAACCAAGAAAGGAGACCGTGTGGCTCTTCTAAGCTCAGCTTAGATCAGCTGAAGAGAAAGAAATATTTGGGCCTATTTTCTTGCTGTTCCCTAATACAGAAATGTATGTACACATACCTAATTCTCACACAGAGGAGACATTTCAAAGTGCTTTCTAAAATGCATTAAATAGATTCAGCACTTACATGCAAACCACCACCAGGCAAAGGAAACAGGGAAACATTTCCCATTAAGAAAGACTATTTTAACATCAGCTTATCAAAACAAGGTAAGTAAAAATTAAATTGAATACTAAATAGTAATTTGGCAGGGTACTTCTCTGAAGGTAGAGTACCACTTTTCAATTACGTGTGCTTCCATCGTAAATCTGTGTCACAAACATATTACAAACAGCCTAAAATATCTGGAAAAGGCCTTAAAAGTTTCAAATTTATTATGCAAATGAAAATATGATGATAATGCTCTCTCAGTAACATATATCAAGGACTCCATGTAATTCCTAAAAACTATTTTCTATAATCTGTATTTAGACAGGGCCATCTAAAGCTACAATAACACCACCACCACCTGTCTCAGAGTAGTAATCCTTTAGATGAAAATCTTTGTTATAGACACTCAACATTTTTAAGTCAATCAACTTTGAAAGCACTCCTCTTTTAGAGTGATACCGCTCCATATTTTGTCACTCTATTCACAGCAAAAACTTAAGTGGAGAAAGTCTAAGCTTTCTATCAAGCAAAATTAGTATCGAAACCTCATTCCCATTTTGAGTTCATCTTCCATGTACTGTGTCTATTGATGGAGACAAGCCAA